CGGTCGACTGATTGGCGGGTTTTGGGGATGCTTCTCCTTCAACGCAGCGAGCGTTTGTTCAGATGGTGGCATTACTGTCTCCTCGCTAATCAGCTGCTGCACTGCACCAGTCACGTTGCCGTCCTGGAGCTTACGGCTAACTCGCTTTCGGAGAAGGGATGGCTCGTCAGGGTCTGCAGTTTTTCGAGTCTTTTGCGGTTCCAGGCTGATTTCGGGGGGAAACCTTGTTCTGGATATTACGACGGATAACATTCGGAAAGGACATCGGTTTTCGTTTACCTGGAGGTGCTTTTGGTTGTCCCAAAGTGGAGTAGCTGAACTCGAGAAGTTCTGTCCATGCTTGTACGGAGTTGCTTGCGGTGACATTCTCCAGGGTTCTTTGCAACGCCTGAGCCACAATGACGCGGGTGATTTTAGGCACGTGGTCGGGTAGGTGGACCTGTTCGCTCAGCCCAGCTAAGCGTGTTGGTAGTTCCTCCGAATTTACGCGTTGCTCATTGCTTGAGGATGTGCTGGCTGGTGGCTGTTGAGATCTGAGTTGCCTTGCTGTGGCTTCTCTGCAGTATGCTGGAGGCTTCTTCAAGTGATTTTCCAGATAGGCTGCGCTGGATAGAATTCTCTGGCACTTTGAGCACTGTAGTGGGTTCGTCATCTTCCTTTCAAATAAACGTTCGAAGCAGCAACAGATCTGGGAGGCAGGAGATCAAATGAGAGTACTTAAAGAGTAAGGAACTGCGGAGGCACGATAACTACGGGACAACTGCCACGACAGTCTCACGAGAAAAATTCTCCAGACTAGGTCCCGTAGCCACCCTCCGATACTGGATGAGGGAAATTTTTCATCTAGGGGCGATGACGAGCCCGTTTAGGAAAATATATTACCAATCCATCGATATTCTAAATACTGTACTTATGTATCTGATCCATTTCCAGCACCTGGTTATCGTAATGTACAATGGTTCCCAATGAAATTGTACACTATTCCAAACGCTAAAAGTTGCGTCAGTTTACAATCAACAGAGTAACAACGACTGACCGAAGATTTGAATAAAGTCAGATCAGATTCACAATCTGTCAACGTATCCAACGAAATAGGTTAAAGTTTTAACAAGCTATAACAAGAAAATTTCCTCTAATTTCTCATGATCCGGTATTGTGCCCATCACGCACATAGCGTTTCCTCTTTGAATCTGTATGGAGATCCGCTGCCGGAAAAATTCCTTTGCCCGTGGTTGCCCGGTAGTGGCCGCGACGAGGTGTCCGATTTTATCCACTAGCTTCTTAGCTCCGCCGCCCAAAGGTCCGTATGTTTCGAAGGCAGCGGCGACAAAATCGTACCTTGGCTGAAGCCACGCATGTTTTGCGAGCTTTTTTGTTTCGGCCAGTTCCGCTGCCGCACCGACATTGACGGATGTACGGTCAACATAAGAAGTTGCCAGAGTGTCAACACAGGTTACGTCTATTGCGAGTGGTTTACGACGTTCCCATGGGATAAGCGTAACTACATCCGGTCTTTTGTTACCCACTATGGCCAATCCTTTCGGTTCTACTCTGGCAGGGAAACCGCCCGTCGTTAACGCGCGAGCGAACTCCCTGCTGATGCCATCGTGTCTAGGTAGTCGTCCGGCTGATCGTTTGCACCGCATTCCATGTCTCCCGAACTCGTCCACCCATTCGCCGCATTTACATTCATGAGGAGTTACGATAGGGGCACCTAATCGGAGAGCGACGCTGGTCTGAAAATCAATATTTTTTAACAGATTACCTAAGCAAGCAGCTGGTAATGCGTGAATCCAGTAACCGGATTCTGGTGTTGACACCGCCTTCAGATGTGCGACTTCTGTGGCGGAGACACCGAGTGCAGAAAGGTCAGAGAGGGCACGCAAGGTCGCAGGAGTGTCCCATGCTTTTTGGACGCTGTGAAGGGGTTCAGCCGGCACATCATTTAAACCTGTAAGCAACTTCCAGACCAGTGTTGCGGATGTTACATCGGTCGGTGGTAGTATCGGGCATAATTTAGAGATAAGCGGGCGCACAGAGGAAGCCGATGCCAGGTAGGCGGAGGGAGCTAGCTCCTCGGTGCGTCGTATACCTAAACCACCCAATCGAACAGGAAGTGATGCCTGCATCCACGTAGGGTGATCCATTTTCACGTTAGTGATGGTCTCCACAGCAGCGCGAAAAGTTTGATCTAGGGCGTATAATTCTTCCGAAAACTGCCACGCCAAAGAAGTACGAAGGAGGTGAACGATTTTCGGTACGGCAGGGCAATTTTTTAACAAAAACAGTGCATAACTGAGTACTTGTAGTGTTTATGATTAAATTTTCGAAAGATCTTTTTGCACACTGCGTATCACGCATATGCAAACAAAAAGATCATCATTTTAGTTTTTCGTCAAAGCTTACTTTACTAGATAAACTATTACGTTTTCGATTAAATTATAAATGAGTTATCAAAATCGATAAATCATTTATACTGAACGTTCTGTAATATTTTAGTGCTCGCAGTACGTAGTGACCAGTGCTTATTCACTGAACGTATCTGCGCGAAAGCATGTGTTTTGCGACTTTTGTCGTAATTTTTTATTCGATGGAAGTGAGACTAGATAACATAGAGCACTATTTCCCCCTCAAAATTCAGAAAATATAAGTTTGTGTAGAAAGGTAAGAGACTATACTGTCGTATAGAATTATTAAAAAATATTGTCAGCTGCAAAGGTTAATCACCCGGCGGGGCTAAACAAATATTTAACAAGGTAAATGAGTACATAACACTACATAGTACAATACATACTGTTTCTATGAAATTAATAATTATTGGCGTTTACCATTATAATTATTATTTGAATTTTGGGACGACTGGATTCTTGGACCTTCAGTTTTCAAGCAGACATCTTAAAAAGCGCTTATAGTCGTCATTTTCATTGCGCTCAAGTGGTGGATCACAAATTATAATATAGATAGTAGGTATGCTACAATTGTTGTTTTATGAAAGTAGTAAGCGATTACAGAATACGTTATCAAACTATTTATATTATCACTAACTATCACATTGTTTTTCTCATACGTTGTTTACTGTAATGTACAATACGGTTCATGTTGCGAATGCCGGTTGCATCATAATGTATTGTACCACACATGTCTATGCAGGCTAGCCAGTGGCCGCTGTTGCATGTTCCTACGACGTGATATGGGGGCGCTACAGTCATCAAGCAAAATTCACCGCAAGAGAGCAGCTGCGCCTTGCTAATTTCGCGTATGTAATTTCCAGGTGATGTATTTACCGGTGTATGTAAAAAACTGGTTTTACTGTACTGTAATAACACTATTGTAACGGTATTGCCGATCCAACTTGGCTCCTTTTGCCAAGTTGACTCGCCAGTACACTCAGATGCAGGACGTATTAGTTTATACAGGACATATTATGTCACCTCCAATGCAAATGTACGGTACAAATTTAAATAAGGCACATGCGTCCGCGAATACACAATCGCACTAAGTGACCATTTGATTGTTTTATTTGGCAGAAGCCAGTGCACATATCGGTATGCTTGCGGAGATTTACACTAATTAAAACGATTAAGTTGCCATTTGTGAGATTGTGATCAACCATAATACTATAAGGTGATACTTTAACCACCGGACGTATGTTATGGGTCCCGGCTATAAACTGATTAGTATGACGGCAGGCGGTATTATCTGGATTTTGAACTTTTGACTGCTCAAAGGCGCTGCAGTACTTATAGTGCACTGCCGGTACACTCACTTCCGGTGATCAGCGGGACAGTTCGTCCACGCACAACTTTATGAGCTGATTTTGACGCTCTTAGCCGACCGGTGGCTTTGTAACATGACTGCCTTCAGTTTAGTTCAGTTTATTTCCGCGCAGACCAACCGTGGGGCACTCAAATAGTCTGGTCAATGGCAAATTTCAACAGTAAACAGCAAAAAATTTAATCAATTACTTGAGACGCATTAAAGAAAAGAAGACTTCAACAGAACCACAGGCAAACAGACTACTATATCCATCGTTCATAATTTTGTTCTATATTATTGAATATTTTATTGATTATTGAATTTTATTGAATATTGAATTTCTTAAGCCTCATCGCTAAGGTCGTCTCTACCATGCTCGGGATGCCTCGGGACTTCCGACTGACGCGAATTCTCATTGGGACTCAGGCGATTGACTACAGTCGGAGTTCGGACGGGCATGCTTACGAGCCAGCGGTGCAAGCTGATCTGCCTGCGGGGAAAGCTCATCTGCCATCCTTGTAAAGTCATCTGCCATCGCTGCACTGAATGCGTCAACAGCTTCACAACTGTCCAGCGGCAGCACGACGGTTCCTCCTTCCCGGGCGTCACATCTCTGCCTGTTCCTTTAAAGTTCACCCAGATAGTTATTCCAACATGACACAAAGCGTTCCCTGCGACTTTCGGGCTGGCATTGACCATTGGTGATATTCAGGATGAATTCTGCTATGCGGGTGGAATTTTTCTTTAATGTGATCCATTTGACCTATCGTCAGCCGTTCGCATCCGGATGAAGTAATGTGAACGGCGGTGATTTCCTATGGAACTAATGCAGGTGGTACGTATACGCTTATACGGCATGGTAGTGGTTGCGCCACACGTCTTATTGCCAGTTTGCCGCCAAATATTACTGTACTTGGCTTTGCGAGTTGCCGGCACCATTGCGATAACCATGGCAATTGGCAAGTAAATTGCAGATAAAGTCTGAAATACCGTTAAACTAATTTTTTGATTGGAGAATTTTAAAATTACCGTCTAGCGAACGAAGAGCAGTCATGGGCGTAGTTTACAACTCATTCCTTTGCACAATGCCTTTGAACTATCACTCAGTTTTGGTAGCTATGACCGCAACGAATACGCACGCAAGCAGCACAAAACATATCTCAAACAATTCAAAAGCAATTACTTGTAGAGGAAAATAACAGCCATCAGTTCTTAATGTTATCGAAGGACGCGGATAATAATCGTCAGTTGGCGTGCTTAATGCAGTGCTGGAGCATTTTACTGGGTTGGCGGCTGCGGAACTGGCAGTCGGCGCAAGCCAGCAGAAAATTATCAGTGTGGCGTTTGTGTGACGGCGACATCAGATGGGAGAGAAAGGCCGTCTCGGCAGCCGTCTGGAATCCACACGCCTGGCAACGGTAACGACTGTCCCCGACCGGTCCGTGACACCCGATGACCGCGGTTTCGGCTTCCTTCACGCCATTGTCTGCTTTAGCTGCGTCAGTCACAGGACGCCGGTTCGTTTCCGGAGCAATTTCCAGCGGTTTCGCTGTGGCGTCACTTGTGATAGCTTCCGAACACTGGATCGCCACCGGCTGGCTGGCTTCTTCTTCGGCGTTTTCTGCGTCTTCAAACTCATCGGAATCTGAATGTTCCTGAACAGTGGTCCTTGCAAGTGAGCGTGATTTCGGTCGCGACTGCCGACTGTCGGCACGATGACCAGATTTCTGTGGCTTTCGCCGGTCCTTGTACTCTGCATAAATTTTAGTGGTGAATATACAACTCACTAATGCGAATGGTGAACTAACTAAAGTGCAAAAAAGGCTGAAGTGGCTGCTGTAACTGTTCGTTAACTGTTAGACACAATGTCCCTACTTGTCCATCGACGGTCAGTAAAACTTCTTCCGGCCAAACGTACGACCTTGGCGATGGTCTGATGGTTGAGCTTGACCCGCCGGCAGATTTCCTCCTGGCTGACATTCTGATCGAACAGCTGCAAAATCTTGCTTCTTGCTTCAGCTGTGCGAGGGTGGTAGCGCTGATGATGACCCCCAACCCCATCTTCGAAAACAAGTTCGCTTTAACGTTACGCATGATTAACATTGCGGATTAAAGCCTTGACACGTTCGTTAATCAGGCAGGTTTAAGTTGTATGTTGCATACGTACTGCACATTGACTGCATTCATTATGTCTGCATTCACTACTCACAACTTGTGAGTCACAAGCGAAAACAAATATTGTAGCCGTCCGCACAAGTTGCTCGGCAGAGTGAGGTGTACGGTTTATTTGCACTCACATTGCTCGCTGTTTAGCGCAGTGTGTGCATGGGGAAGGCAACGGCCGGATCTGCCAATGGAGCAACTTGTGCGGGCGGCTACAGTACATTCGTGCCAAACATGTAACCGACGGTCCGGCAAACATCTATTTACACGGGCTTACTGTCAGACGGGCACTTGCCCATACGCAGCAGTTCTTGTTCGATTACGCGCTGGCCCAATCCGACACGCCGTACGATATGTGATGCACTGTAACCCTTATCGAAGAGTTCCCTGATGGTCTGCTGCTGTTTGTGTGTCACGGTAATTCTTGTAGTACATCGAGTAGCCCTGCAACAACTGTTCAAAATCGGGCGGCGCGTTGGCAATGCGGCAGTCGGCTCGGGCATTTCCGGTGACTGGCGATTGTCCCGCAGTGGCGATGCCGACTCATGGGGCTTTTCTCCTGACAGCTTACCTAAATATTATGCAAGAAAACAGGGACTTACGTTTAATTCACAATAGTATGATAACAATATCAAGAGTTAGTTTCACTTAAACAAAACAACATTTTCTACAATACCCATGACAGAAGCGGCATTACCCCTTTGAATTGCTAAAGAAATATTCTGCCTCAAAAACATCTTGGATTTTGTAATAATAATCATCATTAATTCATGTCTTTTGATCTCCCCCTCAAATACCGAAAACTAAATATTTTTGCCAGTATTTCAGTTATAGCAGTACTGACAAAAATTAATAAAATTGTCGCAGTATCATGCGCTTACGTTTGCTATATCGAATGGTTGTCTTGCCGAGGAGGCGTAATTTCCGGTACACTGTTGCAGGATTCAGTCGGAGACGGTGGGCAATTTCCGATACACCACGTCCTTCATCAAACAAGCGGACAATCTGCCTTTCTTGATCATTGCAGCCCACGGAATGCGCAGGATTCGGGCCTGTTTGGACGCCACCACTTTATAAAATGTTAGGCAATGCACACTACAGTAAATTTGCTGTGGTATAGGGACGTACACTGGTGGTGGTTGCGCCCGGACAAAAGCTCGATCTCACAGCGAACATAGTGCAGGCTAGTTCCCACTTTCCTGACGATTTCTGCCACCGCACACCCCGCCGCATGCAGCGCTGCAATACGCTGCTGTTGCTCGGCGGTAGGCGCGCTGCAATTTGTGGCGCTGGCAGGCAGGCCTACAGGAACGGAACAAGATGAAATGGATAGTTAGCGCAGGACATTGGAGATCCTGTGGTGCACCTACCAAGCGAAACTCTGCTATGGCTTGGCAACGAGTACTCGGTCGAAGTGCTACGACTGCGCGGCATCCTTTTAGCGGTCATTTATCAGCCAAGATGTTGGTAGAAAATATTCCAAGAGCTTCGATTCTTCAAAAAAAGGTTCTTAAATACTTCATACGCATAAAATGAACATGTTAGACCTCGTCCGAGTCACGTTCAAATACCATCAATTTCAAGCGCGTGAGTGCTGTTTCGATGGTGAACCTCTCTCTATCAAAATGTAAACGCGCCCACTGATACCATCAATAAGAGGGCATCCCACAAAGAAAACCATGTGCGCTGTATACAGTGTGTCCGCCTGCGTCCAGTTCAATTTTGATCCAAGAACAATGCCGCTGTTCTTCTCTGATAAATCTGAGTGGTGTTAAAAAGGCAACCCGGATTTATATATTGTTTGGTGGGTTGAGTGGTTGAAAAAGTAGTAGTGGCCTGCACTCACCAATTTTCAAGTAAATGCTCTGTCACCTCCAATGCAAACGTACGAGAGTTTGATCAAGTAACATGTGTCCGCGATTACAGGATCGCATTCACAAGATTTCATTAATTACTATTGTTTCATTCTGTTTCATTCTGTTTCACTTTGTTCCTTTCATTACTTTCATTTTGTTTCACTAATACCTCCCGAAACGGATGTTGCGCGCACAAACGGTTTTTCGCCTATGTGTACGAATCCTTTGGCTTCGAAATCGAAATATCATAAAGCAATGCGAAAAAGGGTTTGGGAGCGCGCGACAGCGAAAGTTGCCGTGGATGTATGCTATGTACCGGGCCGAATCCCTTAATCGCACTATTATAAGAATCATAAGATGATACTTTAACCAAGGTGTACAGCATAAAGGAATAAAGGGATACAAGGGACACCTTGCTTAAAACTGTTTTTAGACTACTCAAATCCGCTGGAATAATAATAATGCATTGTCAGTACACCCACTTCCGGTCAGCTGTCATTACACCCACTTCCGGTGGTCAGTTCGTCCACGAAGAATTTTATTAGCTGACATTGACGCTCTATTTTGTACTCACTGGCTTGCAATATGACTTTAGGTGTAACTGTACGCTGACACGGCACCCTTCCGGCTGACGGAAATTCTCATTCAGGCGATCGGCGATGTCTGTTGTCGAACAAACGTGCTTAGGAGCTACCTGCGGACGGTAAGCGCTCTTCCTCAATGAGGAACGCGCTCCTGGTTGCACAGTAATTGCTTCAACAGCTGTACATCGGCTGCACGACGGTTCCTCCTCCCCGGGCGTCACATCGCTGCTTTATCCGCTGAAGTTCGCCGAGACAGTTTTTTCCAACCTACCAGCCCGAAACTGACAGGGAAACGCTTTGTGTCCGTGGCAGTTGGTAGTTTGTGAAATCCAGTAAGTATGAATTCGCCGGAGTTTTACTCGAGCCTGAGTAAATCAGCCCATTTAGTGACGGCGTTTGTCTTCAGGCGATGGCTTGATCCTTTTTTTCCTGGATCGTGCCAGTCGAGTACACAATAGTGTAACAAACCAGATTAATGGGAGGCTCTTGGAAGGAGCCTTTCTTGTACCTTGATCCCAAACGTTTGATTGTGGTATTCCGTCGCTTTGCGGAGCTGGACGCAGCTCTGTATCGGATTGGCCAGCCACTGGCGCCGGCTATTTTTGGATTATACTTATCAGTCCTGATTCAGTTTTGTCTCTGGGCTTTATAGATTAGACTCTTCGCAATTAAAAAGGTCGTGCCACGCCTGAATCGGGGATCCTGCTATCCGTTCACATTCGTGCACGTGGCATAAAGCGTGGTACTGTTTTAAGCTGAACGAAAGCCGCAGATATTTCTACACTTATAGATCGGGTGCGCGGTGAATTTTTCTTCCAGTATGTCCCTCAAAGATTCACAGGTAGAACGCTTTGCGGGTGTCCATTTGGGCCACCTGACAATTGAGTCACCTAACGTTTGGCCTACCGTACATTTCGGTGTTCTTGAATATGGATTTTTTAGGCCTCACAGTACTGCACAGTACTAGTATTACGGTGTTAGTTCTTTTGGGTTTCTAAGGGCTCGTCCCGAATTCGAAGCGAATCTTGTTGCGATACAGCAACTTTACCTCGCGAGGTGGCTTCGCGTAGCGTGTCTGTAGGCGTGGCCACTGCATACAGCCACCTCGTGCGCTTGAGCAACCGTACCATAGCGAGATTCGCTTCGAATTCGGGACAAGGCCTTAGTTTCATTGGTTTTCTTAGGTTTATTCGTAGTTTTCTTAGGTCTTCTTAAATTCTTTAGGTGGCCCAAGTGTCACGAAAGCTTTTTTTAAAAACTGAACGAAAGCCAGGAGTTACGTGCTGAAGTTTTTACTTCAGTTGTAGATGAATAACAGCTCTGAAGTGTTACCAGAAATCTTGCTTGGCTGCTCAAGCGGCAGAAGGAGTTTCTAACGTACAGAGAATCAAATCAATCAAATCTAATTACTGGGTTGTAAAGTTAAATTTAAATGGCATTGGCTTGTACAATTTGAAATAAAGTGGCACATTTAAAAAAAAAGTCAAATCAATGTGACTATTTGATTACCTTTCCAATCTGTAAGTTAGAACGAGAGAAAGCCGCTCTAACTATATACAGTGCCAACTGCCCAGTGTGTTTTGGGAAGTGTCCCTTAATATGTCAACTGGAATAGCTTTTTAATTAGAATTTGTCAGTGCTGGAACAGCCATTTGTAACGTACTGATTAAAGTGTTCTCAGCAATGCTCACGACATTTAGGGCACAACCTAATCGGTTGAATAATGAAGCGTTCTATAATTATTGCAGGTAAGCGTTAATAGTTTGGCACCAACGGTCATCGTAAGCCTTGGGATTTTTTTTCTGTTAATATTTTTGTTTAAATGAGATATTTGTGGCACGATTAATAATTAAGCGTTCTATAGGTTGAATAATTAAGCGTTCTATAATTATTGCAGATAAGCGTTAATAGTTTGGCACCAACGGTCATCGTAAGCCTTGGGATTTTTTTTCTGTTAATATTTTTGCTTAAATGAGATATTTGTGGCACGATTAATAATTAAGCGTTCTATAGGTTGAATAATTAAGCGTTCTATAATTATTGCAGATAAGCGTTAATAGTTTGGCACCAACGGTCATCGTAAGCCTTGGGATTTTTTTCTGTTAACATTTTTGCGTAAATGAGATATTTGTGGCACGATTAAAGTAGTAAATTGTTTTAGTCCATACTTTTCGCGGACACCAGCAATGGTTTTTCCAATAATTGTGGGCGAATACGACAACGTACGATATCATGAAATGTCAAGCAACGATTTACCTCACATTGAGAAAAAAATAAGTTATAGCGTTTTTCACAAACATCAGCAGCTGTAACATTTCTGTTTGTAAGTAAGCGGTCGGAATGCTGTTGTGACCCCGCGTTATTGTCAAATCTGTCTTTAAAAGGAGTGTTTTTCTACTAGGAATGCGCTGCAGTGTTTCATTTATTCCACCATTCATTTTGTCCTCCATTCATTTCGTCCACCATCCATCCACTTACAGCGTGTCTTACAGTTTAATTGACTGCTTTTGCCACTCTAAACTGTATTGAACGATTGTTAGGTTTCTTATGTCTGATGTTCTCCTTTTTTATGTTTTCCTACGTTTTCGTATATCTTCGCACGTCTTTTTGTTTTTTTCTAAGGTTTTTATGTTTTCCTATGTTTCCTTACTTGTTGTAAGAAGATGCCAGTATGATTTAAGACACTAATGTAACCTATCGTTTGCAATTGTAGTTCAGTGTGCGCTGTGGGCCGCATAACTCGAACTCGTAGATTTCGAAATTTACTTTAATCATTCACAAAAGCTATCAATTAAACAAATAAAAAACAGAAGCATCACGCAGCATCAACAGACAGCAGAAACAGGCGCCCGAATCACTAAGAACATTTGATCTAAATCAGCCGAAGCTGGTGCCGCTCCCAGGACGGATGCGGCGTTTCCACGCTGGATTTCGATGCTGAACCTCTGGCGCAGATACTCAGTTGCACGTATCTCGCCTGTTTCCTGCCATATCATCTTGCCCAGTTCACTGATCAGCCGAGAGGCTTCCGGTCCGAGTGGTCCTACTGTCTCCACGCCCACTGCACGGAACAGGTAGTCCTGGGCGATGTTCTGGTACGAGGACATTTGGGTGCTGTGAACATACCCTGCACGATTAGGCTGCGATGAACAGCTGGTTAGCCGTAGCTCGCAACGCTACAGTCTGAATGCAAACGGCTATAAATTTAGCCGGCTGTTCATCGCAGCCTAATCGTGCAGGGTATGTTCACAGCATCCAAATGTCCTCGTACTTCGCGGTTTTCTTCCGTTCGGCCTGTGCCGCTGCTGCGCCAGCCTGGGTGGATGTTGCTGCAATATGGGTGAGGGCCATCGTGCACACACAAGTCACATCCCATGTCAACATTTTGCCTCGTTCCCATGGCACTAAGGTGACACCGTCAGGGCGTAGGCCGTTGGTCGGTGAAATTCCCAAGGGCTCCAGTTCAGTCTCAATGGTGGCTGAGGCGAAGGCTCGTTTAAGCGTGGCGTTTAAGCTGCTATGTCTAGACTTTCGGCCTCGACTTTTTTTGCAGCTCAAGCCATGGTATCCTCGATCGTCCACCCATTCATTGCAGATGCATCTGTGCGGAGTTACAATCGGTGCTCCCAAGCTTGATTCGGGCGCCTGTTTCTGCTGTCTGTTGATGCTGTGTGATGCTTCTGTTTTTCATTTGTTTAATTGATAGCTTTTGTGAATGATTAAAGTAAATTTCGAAATCTACGAGTTCGAGTTATGCGGCCCACCGCGCACACTGAACTACAATTGCAAACGATAGATTACATTAGTGTCTTAAATCATACTGGCATCTTCTTACAACAAGTAAGGATTAAGTAAACTCGTAGATGCGACATAAGTACTGTAGCGGGACCACAGAGTGTGTTTACCGGAAAAATGCGCACTGGATATACCCGCGCTGCAGGGGCAAAATTCACGATATTACGATATATTACCAGGAAATCAAAATCCGAGGGCCTAGACTCCTACTCTGACTCTGACTCTGATTCTGACCACTCAAACTCTGACTCTGACTACTCAAAGTCTGACTCTGACCGCTCAAAGTCTGACTCTGACTCTGAAGGTTTCTTAGGTTTCATAGGTTTCATAGGTTTCTTAGGTTTCTTAGGTTTCTTAGGTTTCTTAGGTTTCTTAGGTTTCTTAGGTTTCTTAGGTTTCTTAGGTTTCTTAGGTTTCTTAGGTTTCTTAGTTTTCTTAGGTTTCTTAGGTTTCTTAGGTTTTTTAAGTTATTCTTAGGTTATTCAGTCAGAGTCAGAGTCAGAGTTTGGACAGTCAGGGTCAGACTTTGAGTAGTCAGAGTCAGAGTTTGAGCGGTCAGAGTCTGAGTCAGAGTCAGAGCTTGAGCGCGGGCCAAATCCGAGTTCCTTGAGCTGTTGAGCAACGTTCATGATTTGACAATTCATTTACTGTAACTAATTAAAAGTATCTCAAAATGAAAAAAACAGCTAGAATCTGCATTTCAGAAGGCTGAAAATGTATGCAAAGCAGAGCTCTGACGACCATGTTGGTTTGTTGTGGTTTTTGGGGTGCCCATGCGCGGGACAGACGGTTTTTAGTCAGCACTGAAATGGACGGTGAATAAGTTTACAGGATGGGCGCAGAAAGGCGATGATTTTCAGCGCTCCGATGATTAAAAAATTTGGGTAAAAAAGTAGTTCAAATTACGTGGACGTTTGCTATCAGAAATAAGAAAATGTAAAATTGGATTTGGGTCGTGAATTTTGCCCGTGCAGCGTGGGTATATCCAGTGCGCATTTTTCCGGTAAACACACTGTGTGGTCTAACTTGAAACCGCCGCTACAGGATCTCGTGAAGGATTTCGATTTGCAGTTTTGCACTGCAATACGCTTACAGTGTATACAAAACGTACGGTGGACAAAATGAATGGTGGACAAAATGAATGGTGGACAAAATGAACGGTGGACGAAACAATAGGAAGCCCCAGCTGACATGGCTGCTGAACAACGCCGTGCAGTGGGTGCTGCGGTTAGAATCGAACTCATCTCTCACGGCATAAGCTGACGTGAAACTCTCCACAATTTCTGCTAGATTTAATTAAATCATTTTTAGAACTCGTAACAGTCATTCCTTCTTATGAACCACACTACTATGTTCTTCATTTTGCGCCGCTGTAGTTGAACCCGTTGTTAGTAAAATTTGAAAGGAAGAAAGTGGATGAATCTAAAGCCCATTTTTGGCAGTCTCCAAGTCCATTCACTTGATCCCGGCAAGTTTAGCAACTAAGTTTAGCACTTCGTAACATATTGCCGAACTGACTAAATTGACCGACGAAATCAGTTAACGTTATTCAACGCACGATTAAAAAGAAATCGTGTACATATGTTCTTCACGCTGCGGGACTCGCCTCACGCTTGCTGATAAACAACTGGGCGAAAGCGCGAATTTATGCGAACTCGTCTACATATCTGTTCGTTCTCAAGGAAATCTGAAACGAGACCCCGCACGGAAAGAGTGCATGTATGAGTTTCTCACTAGAGGGTGCTGGCGGTTGAAAATACTTAGTCCTTAAAAATGGCTAACGATTAGGATGAACCCCGTTCGGCACTCATAATAATCGTCCTCATGGCTCATGGCTATACTAAGGTCTAAGGGTAAGGTTCTAAATTAATAAGCATTCAAATGTTTCACATTTCATTTCCATATCAGATGTTTTTTCTTAATCGAACGGATTTTGTGCGTTTTAAACCGTTTGAAACAAAAACAAACTGTTAATTAATATTTTATATATTTTTATTAATTTTTGATAAAGTCATTTCAAGCCGAGAAAATCATTGAATTAGCGAGCGATTCAAATGACTGGCTTTCAATTTGTTTTTGTGATCTACACACGGGGCCGTAATTTATAAAAACTCTACAATTACGGTTCCATAATTTTTCGTCACCGCTACGATACCGATCCGATGACTCAGCAGTCCACTACAATTCCAAAACCACTATAATTTCGCAAAAGATTCCGCTATGATAAATCCGGTGCTCCGATAAAAAAACTAAATTTTTAAGAGAGAATACCGTACGATTCCGATAGCGCCGAATGAACTGCTCGATTTTGACATTACGACAGCTCAACCATTCCCAAATCGAATTTAAGGAAACCCACTTCATCAACACTGAGTATCTGTAGGTGCATATTAACTTTTTGGACGTATACGCTCAAAGATGATCTTCAGTCGCATGGCCAGCGTTCCTTCTCCGATCTTCTTTGCCGTGGCTTCAATTCCTTTCGGCTTCCGGATGCTATACCATGGAAAATAAATAAAAACAAAAAACGCAAGTGACCTTTTCACACCTTTGAGCGTCCGACCAGGTTTCCCGCAACCTTCCCGTTGAATTTTGAACGACTTGCTCAGGTCCCATCACGCGTCTGATGAGGTCCACCACAGACCGTCCACGCCGCCTTCGAAGGAAACTCAGGAGAATGTTTTGGCTTGGGTAGGCTGTTTTCTCTTCGTGAAAAGTCTCAATTGGACAGGCATTACCGCAGCTGACATTCTAAGCACCTCTGCCCACTGTCCGGCTTAGACTGACCTTGAAGAAACATTGCTTTCTACAGGCTTGTGCACATTTATTCAGAAAAAAGACGGGAAGGACGCCCAGGAAGCGCAAAGATCCGACCCGGTTCGCTTCCATCTGGGATCTCATGCAGTTGTGCAATGCGCGTGAAGAACGAGCGTAAAGGCGGGAATACGTGGGCGCCGGAAAAGGTCCCGCTGGCTGAATTCGTTAACGCTGCCTCGAGCTCTGAACAGAAGCATGAAAAATCTCGTACCGGCATGTGTACGTGATAGGCAACCCTCAACCAGTACAGACTTTCTCTGAGTGACAAACGCATGACGTCTAGTGTATGTCACTGAAGATCTGTTATCAGGCCGCTCTCAATAATAATCGATTGTACTGCCCTATCAAAAACAGTGATTCATCCAGTTCAACTGTCATTCCCATCCTCCATTCTTTAAAGATGACAGAAGTTTCGTGTTTACAAAAACAAAATTTATCATAATCGGAGGCAGCTAGGGATGAGAGACCATTCTTGATAATATCCCCGTCATTGACATTGTGCAGGCCCAAATTTAGCGACCATGCACTTCCTTCTTCGACGTAGAGAAAAAATGCAGAAAAGTGCCCCGCAACATACAGATGCCACGTGCATATTCCCCTTTAACCTTGGTAATGGGGCGATTCTATAATGTCCCGCAAGATGCAGGGAATGTACTCGATAACAGAATTTTTTTAAATGATTGCTACTGCCATGATTATTTGCATTACCGACACTTAAACGTCCGCACACAGAAAAAATATCCGCCATAAATTTTGCCTATTAAATGGGCAAAATAGTATAGTTTTCGACCACCCCGGATATTTCCAAAACCATGCAGAAGGTCAGGTACTCGCCGTTTACGAGAATTTCCAGCATATCAGACGATCTGTGCAGATTTGTGCCAGCCATCAACGAATTATTCGATAAACGGAGTACAACTTTCAAGATTAATGTAAAACGGCTTTTATATGGCAAAATTGATGCCCAAAGATTTGTTTCGTACGAGCACGGTGTACCATTGGGAATGGCACTTTCAGTTTCACCTGATTGGTTGTAGCGTTAGTGAAAGCAATATCCTAGCTATAGCAGAAAATGATTATCATTAAACTAAATAATTTTATAATTAGAATATGTGATATTAAACATAGTAATAGATGAAAATTTCCCGCTGTGTTATGATCCAAGTTACGTAAGTGCACGCCACAACTTTCTTCCACTTTCCACGCCACTTTCCACTACGGGTAATGCCACTTTTTAATTAGCCGAGGCCCGAGTTTGGTAAAAATAGCATGAAAAATTATTGTTATTGAATCTGCTCTTGCACCTGCATTAGGCGGGAATCACGACGTGGTTGACCTTTTTCCCCGTTGATCTGTGCATGCCGGTTACAGCGGACAGGTGGCGTTCTGTGGGTAACTGAGTTACAGCAGATCGGTGTCAATGAGTGCTGCCATTAACGGCATTAAGTGACATCTACCAATGCTGTATCCGAAAACTAGATGACGTGTAGGACATAGCAGCTGACGCCAAGGAACCGCAAAGGTCCGAATTGGTTCGCTTTCATTTAGGATGTCATCCAGTTGCGCAAATGGGCGTGAAGAACGAGCGTAGAGGCGTGAACACGTTAAGGCCGGAAAAGGTCTCTTTGACTGGAAAAAACTTCAGCTTGTCCATCGTATCCCAGTTCGTCCGGTGGCAAAAATGTTAGCGTACCAAAGCAAGCGTAGCTTGGCTTCTTTTACACTGGTCTGGAGTCTCTGGACCGTCTGGTCTGTAATTAATCTGAACTTCCACTTGTTTTTCGCTATTGCGATAACACGCTTTGTTTTCCTGTCCCTTTCCTTAGTTTCTCATCGTAATGGAGTTTATGCATAATCGGAGACAGGGATGATGTACCACTCTTTGTACCCTTCGGTGACAATGTGCTGTCCCAAATTTAGCGTTCATTATTACATAAGTGGATTTGTCATGCAGTGATGTAAAACCATACGTTTTCATCTTCAACGTGAAGGGGAAATGCAGTGAAGTGCCCCGGAATATACAAACACCAGGTGGTTATTCCCTTCAAGCCTTGGTAATATGTATTGGGCTTCATAATGTCTCGTAGGATGCCGAGAATTATTAATTATATGCTTATTACAGTTATTATTGGTAATTATTTATGCTAAATTCATAGCCCACCAAAACATCCCTAACACAGGAAAAACGTCGGCCGTAAATTGTGCGAAATTGTTTAAGGTTTATGACTACCCCGGATATTCCCAAAACCCAGCAGGTCATGTCATGGTCGTTATTTAATGAGAAGTTCCGGTATAATCGTTTGCTCGCGGCTACAGTTACGATTGTAAGGACAATAATACTACAAGTCATTTTCTCATAGAATGACTACGACAGTTACTGCATTGGTTGTGTTCGTATAACGGCACGGTTTCCCGTTTTCGGCGGCACTTACAATACCCGAAGTGGCACTGTAGTGCTTCGCCTGAATCGAGAATCCTGCTACTATTCTCTAGCTTTGTTAGTGCATTTCAGATTGTCACGTTTTACAGCTTCTGCTGCCGAGTCTGCAATTTTTGTAAAGAAATTCATTTCGATCAGTAGTGCTGCTTTCGGAATACCCAGCCATAGAGAAACAACTACAGGAAATGCTGTAACAGTACTTAAATTAACGCCTAGACCCCTCTAGCGACAGAAGTATTTTAATTAATGATCAGGAAATGTACAGGAGCAGCTTAATGTTTGATGTTATCCGTTGGATGCCTTTTCGTATGGATTTTTGGAATACTGAACAAAAAATCGTCGTCCATCACATGTTGCTTTGTACTTCCGTGTAGTGCTCGAGACGTCCTAATAAGGCAAAATATACGGGAAATAAATATTCGATTAGATCACTGTATTTAAATTAATACATCCCTTATCAGCTGTTTTTTTTCAATCACAAAATAGTGTTACCGGTATATGCTGCTTTAAAAACGCAGCCGAACAGGTAAAGCAAGTACAAGCTATGCAGCCAAGTACTTATATTCGAGCACTTACAATTTAATATAGTATATTCGAGTATTTACAGTTCTATATGTAGTAATATAGTACCAAATAATTAATTATGAAATAACGTTTAAGCAATTTTCTGATGGTAAATATAGAAAATGGTAAATATAGAAAATTCTTGATGCAGCGCCATGTCTGAACGCCCTTGTTCCCGCTACTATGCAGTAATTTTTAATACTCATTATTACAAATCCGAATTACAGTTGCGGTAATAGAAATAAGTGTTGCAGCAACAAGGTATCACAGCATTACCGAATACAAGGGATCTGTTTTGCCGCCGTTAATTCCGTGCTTGCCGAAGACGTGCACCTGCCAGACCAGTCCCGGATTGCGGGCCTTCAGCCAGGTGGCCATGTACTGCCACATATCGCCCACGGCGACCGCTTCCTGGGCGGGCGTTCCAGTGCTGGTGCGGTACGTGGAGCAGACGTAGGCCACCAGGGTGTTGATGTTGTCCAGCAAGCTGCCGCTGATGGACGTCTTGCTCTGGTCTACCTGCGCCCGCAGGCCGCTGACCACGCCGTACTCGATCGCGAGCAAAAACACCAGACGAAGCCACATGTTTACGGTTTCTGTTGCACTTATTATATAAACTCTTAATCTTAACGGCGCCTGTTAAAGCGAATTTATGTACAGTACTGTGACAGGTTGCTAAACATACAGAAGGTTGTTGATGGCTGTGATCGCTATTGTAGTATTCTCAGCTGTAATCAGCGCGGTGTATCGAGATTTTTTATCTGCTGGCAGAATCAGAACGGTGGAAAATTTATTGAGACTCCGCGCTTTCACTGTGCGCGCGTAACATGTGTGCGCTGAAGCATGCTAGTTCCGACAAAAGTGAAAATTTTATGTCAGTCTGAAGATTTAACGGTTAAATTCGATTTAACGCATTCATTCAGTTTTATTACATTGCTTTATTAAGCAGAAAAACCAAACTCCACAGGAATTTTATATTCTCCCGCTCATCCGTGGGAACGGCTGTCATCGGCGACCTTTGTACTTTGCACGAAGTATTTTCTGCCGTCGCAGGTGCCCTTGAACTTCTTTGTGGTTTTTGAGGAATCCTAAAACAAATGGAAACCACTGCATTTTTCATAAGAAATAACAACAAAACACAACACAACCGCAATAAAAGCCGGCAAGAATGATGGCAGTATTAACAGACAAAATTTTTAATTATTTTGGATTTATGAAAGTCCAGAAAAAAGCTATTGAATTCCTGATCCAAAATAATGATGTGGCTATACACGGCCTTGGTTTCATGTGAAGCGTTCATACATTATCCTGGTAAATTTTTTTCAAATACTGTGTATCCTCGAAACTACGCGGAAGAAATGTGCAAAATTGTGGCAAAATTATTGCGGTGAAAGTACCGGATTTTTACCGAGTAGAGCGCATCCTTCCGTCCGTTGTTGATGCCCTGCTTGCCGATAACCTGGACGTTCCAGGCGTATCCATGATGGCGGGCCTTCATCCACTGCGCCACATGCTGCCACATCTCGTCCACGGCCAGCGCTTCCTGTGCGCGGGTACCGGCCGTGTTCTTGTGGGTGTTGCAAGTCTGCGACACGGCCGTCGTGGCATCCTCCAGGAACGCTCCCGTCATGCTGGTCTCGCGGGAGTCCACCTCCACCTTGAGGGCGCTGGTCGCCGCCAGGAAGACAGCTAGTATACACAGGCAAATGGCTGGCGGTGATCCCATTATGGCGCGTGTAGCAAATACGATAACTTTAACGTGGATATATCTTGGTAAAATATTTGTACGCTTCCGTTCGCTATGGAGCAGCGGTATGTGTCAGTCTGGTTTCGAGCAAACCGACATGCAGTATGTAATGCCGGCTATACAAAAAAGATCAAAGTGCACGCTTTTTTTAAATCTCGCCGGCAGATCGATACAAATTCAGTCGACGTACTCGTACGTAGTAATCCTGAAAAACAGTACAACCAAATTTTTTTACTTGCTGCGTGCAGCGGACTGAGCGGAGGTATGGTACTGTACAACACCCAGAAAAAGTGCAGAAAATACCAAAGACAATAGAAATTTAGAGTACCGCTTTTATTTTGATGAATTAATTCCAAGAGATGGACGGAGTCATATACGGAACAGCCTTCGGTACTTCTATAGATATTTTGAATACCTGATATACACCTGTGCATGTGCAGAATTCTGTTTTGAATAAACGATTGCATGGGAATATATTATTGTATGTGTAACGTAGGTGTTAAAACAGCGAATTACGATAATGCCAAGTCTTGTTGTTATGCTTCCATAATAATTATGGATGTAACAGCAACCCAATCAAGGCCTAGTCAACAGATATGTCCGCAGACCAAACACAGAAAATAATAGGCCGGCGGCGATAAAAACAGCGAGGCAAAATCCATTCGACAAATTGCAAATCCGTTACGTTTTCCGGCAATGGCGGCTCGGCAACATTAGGCAGCTACTTGAGGTATTTTCCCTGGACTCGCATGTGAACGCCATTGCAGTCCCCTGCGTATATCAGATCACGTGGTCCGTGCTACAAAGTGAGCAGCCCAGTGATTAAATATTAGTGCAGCGCAAGCCCAAAACTTTACTCTTGTAAAGCACAAGTTGTGCGCCAAAAAGTAACAAATTATAAATAGGTCTCATCACTAACTCTCATGTACAAGTGCTTTTTATACGGAAGGAAAAAAGCATGAACTAATGTTTTATTTATTAAGCTTTTTAAATAATTATTTTACAGGACTATCGCAAAGTACCAAGTTTTATAACACTGAAGTGTTTCTATAGTCGATTTATGTAGAATAATTTAGTTTCCACATCGTAAACGAAACTGGTCGTATATGCCGGTTTTCGTAAAAATATGTAAACCGAGAAACCACGATAAACATCCAGCCCTTCGACGTTTTCGCAGTCCGGATATTTTCACAATCTGTGTTCGAGTACCGTACGACAGAGGCACGGTATTCTCCGCGCTGTTCCACATTAGAATACTTGATGACTTTTGATTAAATTCACCTGTCATGAATACCGCTTTCTGTAATAATAAAAACCCGTGGCATGGATCACTATTATTTTTTCTCGGTAAAGAAACAGAAATGTTTATCAATTAGGTTTACCTTATTATTTTCAAATTAAACTGATATGATATTCTATGAACGATCTCATGTTAGAAGTTGAAAACTAATGGTGTAGCACAAAATGAGAAACATTGATCAATCACTCAAAAAATTCGCATTTTATTTACAAGAATTCAAGTTTAAACTCAGATAGAGTTATCTTTTAGATTTTGTTTAATTTTTTGTAAAACAAAGACTGAAAGAAAGCATTTTCCGAAGCAAAGAATATAATAATCCTTTGGTTTTACTTGCTGCTCCGCTCGCTGCGCTGCGCTTGCTCACGCCGCAGCTCGGCGTCGCCTTCGACTCCGCCTTCGATTTCCGTAGAAACGGTTATTCGCTTCTGTATCATTGCGATAATGGAACGTTTGAACTACACCGTAAAAAATCTTTTTGGAAGAAAAAAGAATCGAACCCTTTGGTTTTACTTGCTCCTCCGCTCGCTGCGCTACGCTTGCTCACGCCGCCACTCGGCGTCGCCTTCGGCTCCGCCTTCGATTTCCGTAGAAACGGTTATTCGCTTCTGTATCATTGCGATATTGGAACGTTTGAACTACACCGTAAAAAATCTTTTTGGAAGAAAAAAGAATCGAACCCTTTGGTTTTACTTGCTGCTCCGCGCAGCGCAGCAAGTGCTGCTACGCTGCGCTAGCTTGGGCCGCAGCTCGGCGTCGCCTTTGGCTACGCCTACAGTTTCAACAGCAAGGGTGACAGCAGTCCGTTAACAATAGTTATTACGGTAGCCCTTACCGTGACAGAAACCGAGACGGTTACGGTAACATGGTACAGTTATGGTAGCGTAACATTTATTTCTGGTAACGCTAAATTAGAGTGGTGAAAGCTGGTAACGCGTTGCCATGAGATATTACAAAATAAATGCGGCCCAATGGGTCCTGTAAAACAGTGTGCTAATTAAGGTAAAATTGCTAACGATAGTAACGGTGCTAACTGTTTCTGACTTCGATTAGCATGGTTTGCTACATCATTGTGTCAAGGTAATGTTACCCGTTATGACCTTATGGTGACGTTTGGCTTGAATGACCGAACTCAGGCTTCGGTAGGGCACAAGCCGCAATATTCCTTTTTAATAAATACCGTGGTTGTACATTCAGTTAACTTTTATGGTTTAGTATCATTTTTACAAACAAAGTCTTTTAATGCCAGCGAAAAGAAAAATAAATGTGTTTCTAAAAAAGGAAAAACAAAGTGCTTCCGCTGTAATTGCTGCACCAGGTGCTTTGCTGCGCTTATTCATGCTCGGCGTCGCCTTGAGCTCTTTCTATAGAAACGGTCAATTCTTATAGCAACAGCATCTTATTGCTGTAACTCGGTACGCTAACGGTAACAGTTACGGTAATATGTACGGTAAACCGTTACGGTAACGGTAACAGGTAACAGTATAGCGTCAGGGTAACCCGTCGAAACGGTTATCTGTTACGCTAGCAAAAACTCGTAACAATAATTTTGGAATGGTAATCCGTTGCGAGTAATGGTTGCCCGTTACAATGCACGGTAATGCGCGGCAATTGCAAACGTACTGCGGATACGGTAGCGGTAGTGACTGAACCGCTACGGTTACAGCGATAACTCGCTTTTCGCGGTTACGATATTCGCTACAGTGTTTGGGTAATCGTAATACAAATTCGTTACGCCAACAATTATACATACTGAAAATGTACCACCAGGGCCGGATAAAATTTCCGGACGGGGTCCTAAAAAGCTGACGACCTATTCATATGTACGAAAGGTTCGACCAAACTGCCCCGGTGATTCTTCGCATGTCGGCTCCTCAAAAAATTAAATATCAGGGTCAGGCATAATTCCCGTACCGGGTTCTAAAAAATGGACCCTACATAATGTTTGTAAGGCGGGTTTGTGAAAAATGCCCCGGTGGTTCCCCGCATGTCGGTTTACGATCCACCCGGGATGGGCAAAATTTGCGGACCGGGTTCTAAAAAACGGACCCTCCATACTGTTTGTATGGCGGGTTCGTAAAAAATGCCCCGGTGGTTCCCCGCATGTCGGTTTCTCAAAAACGATCCACCCGGGGCGGGCAAAATTCCCGGACCGGGATCCAAAAAACGGACCCTCCATACTGTTTGTATGGCGGGTTCGTGAAAAATGCCCCGGCGGTTCCCCGCATGTCGGTTTCTCAAAACCGATCCACCCGAGGCGGGCAAAATTCCCGGACCTAATTCTAAAAAACGGACCCTCCATACTGCTTGTATGGCGGGTTCGTGAAAAATGCCCCGGTGGTTCCCCGCATGTCGGTTTCTCAAAAACGATCCACCCAGGGCAGTCTGTATGAGTGTACCGGGTCCAAATTTTCGATCTCTCAAGCATTTACTGCAGCAGGTCCGTCAAAAATAACCCGGTTAGTTTTTCGATTTTTTGCTACCTTCTCAATTGTTTCAGCGGGGGGCTGCGCCCCCCGCACCCCGTGCTTATTGGGGCTCCGCCCCAAACCCCGGCCAGGGGCTTCGCCCCTGGACCCCGGGGACCCAGCTCTCCGCATGTCGCACCGCAGATTAAAAACACTCGCTCGCTTCGCTCGCTCGCTTGATTACTGTATTTAGGTAATTAGGTAAAATCTTGAAAACGCGGAAATTGTTACCGACAAGGAAATGTGTCGGAAGTAGACAATTCATGGACTGCATGTGTTGATCAGCCTAATTAACGCAGAAAGAGTCTATATTGCCGAGTTTGCCGTAAGGTCACAGTAGGAATGCGTATCTTTGCAACGGATCTACGAGTACTCGAATGTTTCCAGACAGAACACCCTGGAGTCTTTGCAACTTTCCGCGATTAAAGTCTAATACCTTTTAGTATTTCAGTATGCGTAACAATCTTGAGCTTACTTACTACTCAGTAGTAAACATTAAAAACATTCAAATAGGTACAATACACAAAATAATATATTTTGAAATGAGCTTATTGTTAATTTTCATTTCCTTGCTATAATTGATAATAATAATAATAAGTTAAATTTTCTCACTCTTTCTGTGCCATTAGAGCGCTTCGCCGTATCGTACCTATTGGCAAGGTGGTGCCATTCACATTCCTTCCAGGTCTGTACGAGTATTGAAAATTTTGTTGTTTATTGTGCATAGTTGCCTCTGCGTAATACTGTAAATATCGTAGACGCAGCGTTTGTAAACTATACGGGCCCTTTTCTACTACCGGCTGCATAAAAAATGCCTGCGGCGCATACATATATTTAAGCGTCTGAATCTGGCAGATCGATAACAAGGAAGTTCCACAGGAGATACAACGCATAATTTCAAACGATGGGAAAGAAATCAGCGGTTTATCGGCGTAATTCTGTAGTGGACTGGTCGCTACAGGAAAAATCAACAACTGGTCATACGTAAAATATATTTGCCATGGGAGAAAATCGTTGACCTCAAGATGAAAAAACGTTTAATAAATGCAGAGACCAATTAACGTCGACAAGAACTCTGTTGGCGGAAGCCAAGCGGTGTGGAGCAACTCTTCTCAGGCTGAACGCGTCGGAACACCGTAAACACGGACCCGATTACCATCGCAATCCGCCGCGTAGAACTGATCATCTTTTCCTAACTGCAAAACCATCAATCAACATATAAACGTTCTCGATTACTTTAGGTTTGGAAATGCTGCAACTACAAGTGTACTTGTAATTCCTGGTAGTGAATTTATTTTTGTGATGTTCGTGTCGTGGTAAATGCACATTCTGGAGATAGCTACCGCTTAAAAATGAGTTAGAGTACGTGTCCGACCATTGCCGTTGCTCTAGGAGTACGAGACTAGTCCGGCATACCAGTGGCTTGGCCGGTATCGACGCTGTCAGCGGTATGACGGTCACTGTCCAGGCGTAGCCGGTCTTCTCGATTTTCTCGTTGTTCTGTATCCGGGCAGTGATGGCTGACTGGATTTGTGCCGTCGAGGCCCCGCGTCGCGCGTTCGTGCACTCGCCCAGGACGGCGGTCTGAGTGCGCAGAAACCATTTGTTGGTACGATGGTTCATGGCGTTCTCATCGGCCACAGTCAGGGAAGCGTCCGCCACAGCTATGACAACAGCCAGAAGAGCCAGCAGCTGACGGAACATGGTGAATTTCGTATGTGTAAGTCTGTTGTCATGCGGAAAAATTAAGTTACTGGATATTACTGTGCACCGGTTGATAATACGGTGCCTGATACTGTTCCGATGTATGGTAAATGAAGAAATGCAGCCAGTAATTTATACTGTTAACGCGATGACAACTGTACAGATAGAGTGCCGAAAGCAGTTACAAAAAGTTTTTGTGTGCCCTATGGTGGAATGATCTTGCACGTGTAAACCGGTAGTAAGATAGTACTGCACAATACGCTGAAAAGTCGGATCGCATTCCAAAGTATCCAGTTGCTGATAAAAAATACGAGGCCCGTTCAGAGTTTTACATGCATACATTTACATTGCCTCGAATCGGTGAAACGGTATTCCTTATCACGAATGCCGGTGTGGATGGCATGATTCTCCAGTCACGTTAAGAATTGAGTGAATTCCGGGCAGACTGACGTCTACCTGTGCAAAATTTCGGAATCTGCTTCGGTAAATCGACTGTCGTTTCCGGCGCAGTAGGGATAAATCTAGATGTATAGTGAAGTATGTATTTTTCTTAAAATTCTGCCTATGGATGTTCTTTCGTACCACGCTCCAAGATGTCAGCAGATTTTCTGCGTAAAAAATTTGCATTTTTTAAATATCTATTAAACCGTTATGTTTCTGCCATGCTATTGGTGGTCGATTCGAATTACGGAAGGATTTCTCTTCATATTGTAAAATAGAATGCATTGAGGTTATTTGATGCTCACACAAAATTTAGGCCTGCGAGAGCCAGTGCGACGCTTGTGGCGTATACAACCCTTTTTCTAAATGAACACTGAAAAAATGGTTTTTCTGTGGGGTCAACTGGTCTACAGTATACTGCAGTTTATAGGTTTACGAATCCATGTCTGTCTGTTCAAACGGAAATCTGGTTGGTTGGCTTCGACAGTAAGTAAGCTGCGCCTACGCGCAAATACTGCGCTTGTACCGATTAATGATGATATGCCAGCGCTCCCACGATTCCGCTGCGGCTAGCATCTGCAAAAAATATGTTGCAACCTACTGTGGTAAAAATGAAATTTCATAATGATATTAATTACTGTGTTCCGGCTAAACACAGGTATATTGGCATAAATGTTGTGCCGCTCCCTGTAATTACTAAACGCTGATCTTAACTAAGTGTAAGCTTTATGCTGCTGCGAGTTTGTGTTGTGCAACTTAACCAAAGTGTGTCAAAGTCTGTCACTTGAGAATTTGTACCGGTAACTGCGAAATACCGATCGCGAGTACGTTGGCGTTTTATGCGGTGTTTAATGCAACTACATGCCGCCAACGACAACGATTGTACGGGCTCCAAAAAAAAGTACAGTATAGCAAATTAAATAAGCTGCTTATACGGCATTTCAGCATAAGTACAAGTACATATAGTTCTTTGTTAATCACTATGTATGCAGTGTTTTAGTTGCAAAATAACGTAACTTATTTTTCCGTTTATCTATCCATCATCCATCCAGCCTAGCACGAGAGCGCCGGTCATCGGTGACCTTTGTACTGGGTAACCCATTTATCTTTTACCATCGTACGTAACCTTGCACTTTTTCACCATCGGTGGTAGATGGCACACTATACCCTGGATAAGTAATGTGTAGCGCAATTAATTTGTTTTCGATCGTGAAAAACAAAAGTTTGTTATTCCGTTACTGGCGTGCAAGTTGTTTGGCGACTCTAAGAACACCCATATCATCCATCTGCTAAAATTTGTAATACTACCACTAGCCAAAAGACGACACGTAACATTAAACGGTGCACATTATGTTGTTATCAAGCGAAGTATTTTAACAATTTCGGGGACCACATTATACGAGCAAATACTGAATCGATATTACTTCGAATAATTGGATATTAGTGATCATACTACCATACTTCAAATTCGTCATGGTCATTGATTGGTATTTGGACATAATTTGGTGCTAGCAGGGATACATGCTTAGCAGATAGCACCACAGATAATATTTCTTGAATGTTATTTTTTTTTGTGTTCTGAATTTCTCCAGAATTTACCCGAAAAGTTGCGTCAAATTCAATTCAAGGCAAGGGCAGTCACAATTACCAATCAATTTAAATTACACAAAAAAATCTAAATTTCCCCAGCTTTCCTACATATTTTTTTCTAATATACAGTATACGGTGTATGAATTTTAAAAAAAATTTTCTGTCGGCAGCAAAAACAGTTTAATCCAGTTGTACTTTCAACACATTTATATCAACCGGCGCGGTGTGGCTGTGTGGCATATACAGTGCCTGTTTGTTGAAACCGTGAGGACGTTTTACTTCAACATTAGTCTTTTCCCGGTGCAACATTGTACCGATCTCCAGTATAACGCAAACAAACCAAGAAAGGTGCAAAGGTCAAGGTGTGCTTCTCACCGACATTTCTTGGCACCGGGAATAACATTTAACGAGCATGTTCGTTGTCGGCCACAATTATTTTACTGCATTCTGCATTGCTACTGCAAAAGCCGCCCCAGTCCACTATCAATCGCTGACCCGTGCACTGTGCAGTAAATCGAGAATGTACCGCGTACTGCTTCTTCTCATCGCCGCCGTGGTGGTCAGCGGCGAGCTGCGCGTGGACCATACGGAGAACACCATGGCGGTCCGCTCGCCGCTCTTCAATAACGCCAACGGCGCCGCCCGGGCCGCCTGCACGGAGGGTGCCACGGCGGAGCAGATGAGCTCGCGTATCGCTGACCGCATGAAGGACGTCCGCAAGGAGAAGTTCACCTGGCTGGTCACCGTGACGCCGACGGGCGCCTCTACCGGAAGCCGACCTACGGTATTTGCACAACAGACGTTAATGATTATTTTTTTTATCGCGCAGTAAATTCTTTGTTAATAACTTTGACTTCTCTTTGTTTTCAGTTTTTAGTTTTTCTTTTCTTGTTTGTTACCCTCCGTGTTTGTTGCATTTTTCACATACAAGTATTAGTGACAAGTATCTCCTTCTGTAATTTCTCTTGTATTTAACATTGTTTTTATTATTATTTGTTAATATATTTCTTTATACTTTTTTCGTATATAATAAAAAAATTTTATTTCGCTTCTAAAGAACCTGATTTTTCTTTGTGGTGAAAAGTATAAATGTTAAGCGTGGTTTCTAGCGATAATGTTTTGCTGTTGCGTCTGAGTTAGGTGTTGTTCTATGCATTTTGCAGCCAGGGAAAAACGATCAAATCTACGCCGCGGATTGCAATGGCCAGCATATTCGCATCCACGGAAGGTTCACCGAGGCGACCTCAAATTAGACGAGAACTGGAATTCCCAACCCTCGTGAATTAAAAGATGATACAAGACTTACTTTAAAATTTCGTTCACTATGGATACGTAAAGAAATTGTATGCTTGTTTAGCGCAACAAGATATTTATCAAATGATAATGAATAAGGGTCATCACCGTACGATCCGAATCGACTGGTTATGCGTACAACCTTTATGGCAAATACATAAACCAGTACTGTAGACATAAGAAACCACAAAGGAATAATTTTAAAACAATAAACTTAAAATGCTACAACAATAACAAACAGTAGAAGATGCAGACGACAAAAGAGACCAGGTTGCCACAGCAGATAAGGCACGCTTGCATCAAAGGCAAAAAGACAGGAGAGAGAGGTAGTTAATAAAGTTTACGTATAATAAAAATCATAATAAGTACATCCAATATTTCTGATAATATTGAGAGGTAGAACTGTGCTAATACATCTTCAGCCGGGCGGATGGAGCACGCAGGCAACGTGCTCACGTGACTAGCGTTTGGCGGTGGCATGGCCGCGACCAGAATACGGACCACCGGCTAGCCGGCCCCCGCTGGAGGCCTGGCTGTGCAGAGAGTGCAGGGATTCGCTGTCTTCGCCGGGCAGACGCAGGTTAAGACTGCTGCCGGTGTGGCCGCCGCGGGCCAGGTGCACGTTGGGCGGGTAGTTCGTCCAGCGCAGGTTGTGGGAAGACGGGCACTCCCGCAGCTGCCGGTAATCCAGATCATACTGTAAGAAAAGATTTTAAAAGGTCACTTCTATGTGTATCCCGAAAAACTTGCGCCGCGTGATTATTTCGCTGTGCGCAAAAAAATGATGGGTCAAAAATTCATAGGTCATCTTTTTGTACCTTGCTAACCAACATCGATTTGATGGATCCATGTTTTTAATGTGAAAATAATTTCTGTTCTTAACAACACGAAAACACGAAGGTAAAAGAGAAACAAGAGGTTTTTACTGTGAATTTCCGACGCTTTATGAATTAACTATATATGTAAGTACGTCTCAAAATTGTGGGTGCATTATCAGTTTATTAAGTACAAATATTCCGAATAGCTACTACTATTTTCCCTGTCATTAAAAAACTATTGTAAGTTTATTTCCGGTAAAGTTTATTTCCGGTAAACTTTCTTCGGTTGTGATACAAGCATTAGCTTATACTTTTATTTATCGCTTTTGTTTTACTTCAATTTTTTAATAAGATTTTGTAACGCATGCCGCTTTTTTTATGAAAATAAAAATTGGTGCTTACTTTTGTAGCGCAAATGAAACACGTCGTAACCAATTTGGCAATAGCGTTCATAAGATCCTTGGTCTGCTGTATAACCGTCTCCACCTTATTAAAAGTCGCCGTCTTTCCCGCCGTGGGATTTTTAATGGTGGCCGACAACTGCTGTATCAACCGCGGGATCTTCTCCAGCGTACTGACCAGCTCCACTTTCTGCAGTCCCTGCGGCACATGACTGCCGAACTCCCGGATGGCCCGGCACAATCGATTGGCTTCTTCGGTGAAGAACTCGGCTTGCGTGAAGAGGTCCTGGGTGGTCTTCAGCGTGCCTTCGCCGCGCGTGAACAGGTACATGGTGTAGGCCATACTGGACATGTTCTTAGCCCGTTTGACAATGTCGTTATTGGCCTCGGCGCGCCACTCCCCGGCCGGACCGCTACCGGACGACGAGGGACCCGGCGGACCGCACTTATCGGCCAGGGCGGTGTCCATCTCCGAGGAGAGCATCTGCATCTCCAGGCCGTTCTTAACCAGTCGCGCTTGTTCTTGGCTGCCGAAGTCGCTGGGATAGGTGCGGATCGGTTTGGCGGTGGCACCGTGGCGCTGTTTTCAAAAGTAAATTGAACTGAGATTAACCTGTGCTTTAGCAAGATCCATACTTCGCCTTGCCCATTATTTCAATCAGTACCGCTTTAGGGATCAATATATTAATCACTTTACCGAATTGAGAGCCTTTGTGGCGGGCGGCTACATGAACAACCACGGCTGACTGAAATGCAGTCTATGCATTACCATTCAGTCTATGCAGCCTACGCAGCTTATCAGTGTGCAATCTATGCAGTAAGACCAGCACTGCATCTATGCAGTAAAAGTGATTAATATATTGATCCCTAAAGCGGTACTGATTAAAATAATGGGCAAAGCGAAGTATGCTCATTATTTTTAATTTTTTCTACTAGGTACATACATCTTTTAAATAGAGATATCGTACCAGGCTATTGGAAGTTCTTTGTTCTGAAGCTTTTTTACTTACACCGGGTCGGGGCAGCGACATGTATCCCATCCGCACCGGCGTTTTGCTGTCTTTATTCTGGTTGGCGCACTGCGTGGTCACCGATAGCAGGTCACGTACCAGACTGCGCCAGGCTTCCAGGAAGACGTCCAGGTTTTCTTTGGCTGTGCGGCTGCCGATGCTCTGCACTAATGTTTGCGCCGCGAAGATGCACTGCAAAAAAAGTTTTTACTATAGTTCTTTTTTCAATTGTATAAGAATGGAAATGTTGAATGTTATGTTTAACTATAATAACTACTTCGTACTAGTGAAAATATTCACCAATAGTGAAAGTTACCTGTCGTCCGAGGGAAGCCAGACTGGTCTCCAGCCGGTCGGCCTGGATGAGCATCGCCGGATTGCAGCTGATGTGCTTCAACATCCGGCTGACTTCCAGCAGCCGTCCGGCGGTGACGGAGAAGCGGTGCGCTTCGTCCTCCAGCAGACGCGGATCCCCGCTTAATGCGGCGTCACACACGCGCTCCGTCGCTTCCGCTTCGTTGTAGCTTTTCAGTAGATCGGTGGCGATCTGTACCGCCACATTACTCAACTGCAGAACATAAGGGATCAGTTTTATTTGAGTCATATTTACCGTAATGACGTTTTTAGAATACCGACTTCTTATACTACGGTGTGAAAGCTTCTTAATAATGGAAGAGCCGCGCGTTTCCTTTACCTCTTTCTTCATGCTCTTCGCTGTCTGTTGAGCTTTAGATAGGGACGTGTCCATGTTGCTGCCGGCTAGTGGACCAGCGTCAAGACCCTACGAAACAAAAATTTATTAATTAATATTAGGCTTTAAAAATCGACCGACTAATAAAGTAAGAACAACCACTGGCAGTTGTGGAAAAATCTCAGTTTTATATAACAATTTTTGCGGGAAGCTGTCGTACCAGAACGGGATAGCTCTGCAGTTGCTCCTTCAGGAGCTGCGCGAGTTGTAGCACCCGTTGGCGCTGCTCGTGAGGAATTTCCGCCGAGTCCACGAAATCCGTCAGAGCTTCCTCGAAGAGCTGAAAGTCCCGCTTGAGGATGTCGTAGGCTTCGGAGGTGATCAGATTCATCTTGATCATCTCTAAGGTATCCTGCGTGGAAAGTTAATCAAAGGTCATACGCGTTGACGAAGCTTAGTAAGTGGCGAAATTTAAAATACTGGTAATTTTATATTAATATACTTGATAGAATATTTTTTTTTGAAATTTACTGCCGGCATTTTAAGCAGTTGTGATGGCACTTTGTTGTTGCAAGCTCGTTAGGTACTCCGTACTGCGACCGACGTGCACGTGCGTATTTAACAAATCACGCACAACAGCGAAATCATAATATTATTCATCTACCACAATGGTAAGGAAATCACGGTGGTAAGATTACAGCGGCAATTGAAAAGTGTTAAAGCACACGTTTGTTGACGGTATAAAATCGATCATTATCAAGCCGGCGAATTACTGGGTTATATGCCAGCTGATGACAGTAAGGTGGCCTAGTGGGCTGTGATGGATGGTATGTAATCAGAAGCCGTGCATGGGACATGTGCAGGCATCCGTGGCCCGCTGATGAACTGCCCACGTCACATCGGCCACAACAGCAGCCACAAAAATACCGGCTTCCGGTAATAGGTTGTGCCCGTGATTTATGCCGCAGTGATTCAGTATAACGGCGCTAATATTTAAGTTTTAGTCTGGGGCTGCGCAATGAAAAATGGATTACATGTACGCCCACTTTTCGCAACTGTCAGGCTGCGGTAAAACATAATTACAAGGATTCGGATAAGCCTTGTTGTTAAGTATTCTTTGTGCAATTATCGGTTATTTTTTAGTTTTTCTTCTCTAACGGATGGTTGTTAATGCGCATCGACTTCCATCGTACAAGTACTCTTATATGTTTTTCAAATAAATATATATTTATAAGTAAACATTTATTTTTTTAACAATCGAATGTAATTATTTTTAAGGGCGATCTTTTCAGTACATTGCTACCTTCGCTGCCTAATGACAGCTGTTTCAACTGGGCACAATCTCGTGGGCAAAATAAACCGACGCGTTTTATAACACAAAATTGTATATCTAAATCTTCTCTAAGTACCTGGATTTCTACTTTTAAATGCTTCGTAAAATATTGTGTAATTGATTCTATAATATTTCTACTCGTATTCTGGCATATGTACGTACTGTATATCGTGTGCAATTTTGGGCATCAGCTTTTCAGATAAAACGTTGCAAAATATTTTTTAACTTGATTAGTACAGTATGGATGCGTACATAATATTATCATAACACTAAAAACATAACACAATGTGATACTTCTATCATTAACTAAGAAATAAAATTACACAATCGAATCAATAAGAAATAGCACTTACCTCGATCCTCTGCAGGACGACGCTAATGGCGGTGTGCTTCTCCACCGAGGGCACATATCCCGCACCGCACCCAGCCGGCATCCCGGCCAGCGCACTGCGCATCTCCGGATCGGTGAGGTAGGCTTCCCCGTCTGTGACCGCGTAGCTGAGCAGATTCAGCGCCTCACTGACCCGCGCATACACCAGATCCCGGTTCAACCGGGCCTCCTGGCTATCCGGATGCCGCAGACTGGCCTGAAACCGGTATCATCCCCATCAGCGACAAGTTGTTGATCAATGAACAAGCAATTACATGCACCCCGGGGGAGGGTACATTATACACACGAAGATGAATGAAAGATACGAATCATAACACCGGTTGTGTCATGTTTATAACCGGTTGTGGTCAGTGGACGATGATTAATGAGGGGGCGATGTGAAGAGAAATTGTGAAAAATATCGGAAGTGTGCTAATACCTTGGATGACGTGAGGAGCATCATGGTGGATTTCTCCAGCAGCTGTCTGGCGCTGGCCAGCTGCGCTTTCCGCTTGTCGTCCTTGAGATCCTGCAGGCGTTCCCCACTGAGCCGCGCCAGATCCACCATACTGCTGCCGTACTGGCTGAATAGTTTAACGAATTCGCTGAAGTCCCGGACATGTACCAGGGCGCGCAGTGTTTGCCGAACCTGCCCCAGTATAAATTGCACTGGTAACACAGATGCATTACGTTGCGTCTGGGATGTGATTGCGCATGTGCAGCGATTTATCTTTATGGTCACTATATCAATAACTATAACCGATACATTTCCGCTGGATTACCGGAAGAGAAAAACCTTTTGGATAGCGTATATGAGAAAAATCAATGTAGCAACATTTATCGCAAATCGATCGAGGGCCTGTAAACTGCTGAGATTTAAAAAGACAAAACAATATGTCGCGCAACCTGCGGTACAACACATTTTTGTCCAATAAATGCAGAATATTTACAAAAACTTAATTTTTTCGAAATACAAGTGTTCTCTTCCACGGGCACTGCATTCTTATACAACTCGTCCACTCATTGCTTTCTAATTTAAGGAAAATATAAAATGAGTGAAATAAATCGATTTTTGCCTACGAATTGTGAATATTTTATTCTCAGCAAAACCATTTGCTATTCTTTATTAATACCAGCTAAAAAGTACTAAAGTGCCAGTGCGGTCGATAAAATAATACTGCGTCCGTAAAAAATATTTAAAAATTACGGTTTTGGAAACAAGAAACAAAAGTATCCCTTCTAATTCATTTGGTGATTAAATAGAGAATACAACGTATGCAACGAATTATCTGACATTTAACGCAAAAACCAAGCCAGATATGAAAACCAGCAAACGGAGACACTTCCGGTACCAAGGTCAGCCTTACCGCGTCCTTGGCCCGCAAAATCTGCAATACCAACACCCGGTCTGCGAGCAACAGGACCCGCGTGACCGACGACAGCAACCCGCGTGCCGCCCGCAGCAGTTTGCGCTCCTCCAGCAGCGGCTGCGACGGCGGATGCGGGAGCATCGCGCCGGGCGGATACAGACCGTCCAGGCGGATGGAGACGATCTGCGCCAGCAGGGAACCTGTATAACGCATACCAAGGGTCACCCCCCGCTGGGCGGAAGTGGCATTTTGCGTCTTACCGGCATCCCGCGTCTCCCGGCAGGCCTCCAGCATCTCCTGGCGGATTTCCGGGTTGTCCTCGGCGATGTTCTCGCCGATGTGCACGAACTTGGCCACGGCTTCGCAGACATCACGGACCACGCAGGAGAGAGCGATGGACACGCGCTCGCTTTTTGTCAGGCGCTCGCGCTGGCTGATTAGCGCCGAGATCTGCAATACAACCAGACTTAATTTTATAGATGCGAGGCTTGATTGAATTTATTCGAATAAATTGAAAAAAAATTGAAAATTATTCGGAAATTAATTTTTACCATTTTTTTCTTTTTTTACCGATTTATTTAGCCATCACGGTACCACCTATACAATTATACCTAAAAAAGTTTTTGTTAGCATACCAAAAACGTGACTGACCAGATACAGGATACGAGATTCTTAACTTTTGATGTTTTTGACACGTACTTCACAATTATATACTCGTACATTAAATGTACATCGGCTTGTATAGCCAATACCTTAACATCGAGGGAAAAGTCCACTTTTTTAAAAACCGATAGTTTAAGGTTATATACTCGTACATATAACTGTTGCTTAACAAGATTCTTAAAAAGTTTTTCTCGTGTTCAACGATTATACGACGGTGATCGCAATTTTTTTACCCATACGCAGAACCGCAGAAGTTATGCCCACTAATGTCTGCAGTTTACGCAGAACTCCGTATAAGAAGTTATCATAATAACAAAAGCCAGGGGAGTTTTTAAGTGCAGTGCAATTTAATCAGCTATAAAAGCCGTATAGAATTTTAATCCGATTTGTCCATGAAAAGAAGGAGAGCAATCGGAGTGGAGAGCATTAGTCTACTTTGCCGCGATTGTTGTATCTGTACTGACTGCACCCAGTCCGTACGTTATCGGTTATAATAAAATATCTTGACGATTGATTTCGGGGATTATCCCCGGTCAATCTGCTGCGGCCACATCGTTATGCGTTTCCCAAGCCGCATTGTACACATCATACACGTCATTACGATTACGATCGGCGAGCATAAATCATCCTAAGCGGTTATTTATACTGGCTACAATACATACAGCGCAGTGACGGGGCAATTAATGTGCAACTACAGCGCAACGGATATTATTAATGATACATGCACGGTGGCGGGATATCGCGGCTGAAAATTAGGGAATGATTATTGACACCGGCGGTGATGTGCGGAGGCTGCAGTGCGGCCGGCGGTGATGAGTGGGGATCGCGTTAGGTTGAGAAAATAAAAGGCCCTTGATGAAGGGAATTATCGGCTAATAGTTGGGGGCTCTGCATATAGCTAGTACATATACTGTAGACATCCGCAGCGCGTAACGCTTAATTTCTCAGGGAAAATCAATACCGGCGTCCGTCGTGTTGTCCCTCTGCCAACACGCCGTGTAATAACCCGTTCCAAAGAAGAGAGAACAGCGATACAGAAAAGCAACTACATAGCTTCTGATCAAATCCAACAAGAAAACGCGAGGTCGGTAGCATTTCAGTGCACGTGCAATTCGCAATTATTGATGCATAATTATGCTATTATGACGACTGCTGCCTATTGATATTAAATTATTAATTTTTCAAATTTTTGGATAACATAAATTCACGTGTGACAGTACAGCTGACATGTGCGGTTGTTTAGAGGTGCAATACAAAAATAAACAAAAATAATAATCACATGAAAATATAAAAAAGTTTTTGGGAGACCTAAACAAGCACCAATTTTGCCGGCTTTTGTAATGATTACGAAGACCGAAAACGGTAAAGCAATATCGTATTTCCGCTGAGCCGGCTTGCGCCTGATATTACGTGGTAAATTGTCCATCTGTCGGTTCCGAGTTAAAGACAAAACTACGTCAGCCATAAATTATTGAGTATCAAATCATTCTTATTTAGTTCCGATTATATGCAGTGAAAGTTTTTTCATAGATAATGAATCATCCTAAATCTGTTCGACTTGGCCAATAATTTTAACGTAAAACTGCAATTTAAATGTTTATGAAAAGAGTTAAGAGTGAATCGACGGAGCAGCTGCCGGTTGGCCTGTTCGATGCATTTCCGGATGCTTTTCCAAGAGAAGCGAGTGTGTGCGGCCGCAGCGCGCGTCTGTACGTTGGGGCGATTATGTACGGCGCGTTTCCTAATCCCCGAAGAGATCGGAAACTCGGAAAGTGGGACAAACACATCGCGCAGTGTACGGCCGCAGTGCGTCTATAATCGCCGCGCGGGACGGCGTACTGACTCCCATTTCCGAACGGAACATGTGCCGGGTTAGTGTGCATGGCGAAAAAATATATATATATCACGGAATTGCGCTCGAGAGCCGCCATTGACGATGGAGACTGGCGTGTGCGGCTGACAATTATTTTCGACATGTTCATCATTACATGCGCTGAACGCGGGCCAGCGTTCTACATAATCATTACCGCTGTATACAGTGCCGATGTACGCGCGCCAATTGACTGACAAAAATTCACGAAAGCGCTAATAATCGGCTTTACGTAATCGCATTGTTGGAATCTTCAACGTCAGCTTGAGTGGACGAAAAAACACCGACAGCCGGCTGCAAAGCCAAACACGAACGATACAAGTCAGATGTCGAAAGGTCCACCATAGGCCAACCATAATATTTACGTGCACTTTTAAGAAATTGTTTACGAGAAAATGCCGGTTAAATTTAGACGTGCGCCAATTAGACAAGCATTAAAATACTTCCTGGTGTGCGCCGGCAGCAGTAAAGTGTGTTTAGCGAAAATTAAATTAAACCAAGTTTAATATGGAATCATCCATGTTTGGGTAAAAATAACTGCTTGACGGCATTTCGGAAAATTGACGCATTACAAAGTCATCTTATTAAAAATTCAGCGGGAATTTTCCCAGTGGGACAAAATCGTTAATTATTATCGATAAGTATGTATTTATTAATTATAATTGCAATGCATAAGCTGTTAAAGTTAAGCTTGCGACTTAACTAAGAAATGCAACCCACGGAAATAGTAATTTGAACCAACACAGTAGATAAATTCGGAACAACGTTTTCGGCAATCACGCAATATACGAAGTTCAGCGGGAATTCGACAGTAAAACGAAACCGGTGTTTCATTAATTTTTAAAAATATTTGTTGTTTTCGTTTCATGAAAATGATAAAAAGCCATTAAATTATAATAATAATTATTGTTATTATTATTTAATAGAGCATGTTATTCCACTGGTCATGTTTGCAGTGCTTTACGCCATATCATCTTAAAAAGGCTTGCCTTCTCACATCCTAGTAAACTAAAAAAGCTGATCAAAAATTTAAGAATTAAAAATGAATTATACAGCCAGGTTTTGCGCGTTCATCTGGATTTAATTACGCATTTCAGAATTCGTGATAAAAAAAATTCAAACAGACTTAACAGAGTAAACGAAATCGCTAAATGCTGGTACCTGCGAGACGAGAGGAATGAGCGTCTGCTCGACGGATTTAGTGCGGATCTCCAGATTGGACAGACCGGTTAAGGAAGCGGAAGTGGGCAGCGTCCCCGGCCCGGCCGCCGACGCACTGCCCGGCCCCACCGGCGTACATCCCGGCATGGACACCGCCGCCACGGGCTCCGGCACACGCATGGCCATATCACATCACATTAGTGCGTTCAGTGTGATACTCCCTTCAACTTCAGCAGGCATCAACCGTCCCATCACAAATTATACATAATATAATCCCCGATCCTGCAGAACGACAGCACACATTGATACATTTTTTAATTGCCCAATATAATTCCTGTATGTATATATGCGCCACGCGTTGGCGTCGTTAAACGGTGCGCCTTTGTTGACACTGCCATCCACCGGCATTCACATTAACGGTCCTGATACACGGTTATTACACGGGCGTATTATGACACCCAGCGGAAATCCGTACGCAGTGTTTTGTCAGCAGAATACTGGGATAGACGAATTGTTATCCAGGACACAGTTAAACACCGAGTTGACAGTGTTACCACGCGCCGTGTGTTGATACGTACGTGAGAAGATGCCGATGTGGTGCTTACTTTGCTGGGGCCGGTGTGTGTGCAGATTAACCAACGTACAATTGATTATTCAATGCTTGGCAGGTGCATAGCGCGATATTGGTGAACGCTACAACGCCGTCATAATAATTATCTTGGCCCGGCGGAATATGTTGATCACGCGCGCGCGGGAGAATATTAAAGTCACAGCACGCGCTAAGAAAACAACGCGTACACGCAGCGCGAGAAAAGTGGAAAACACTCGCAGCAGACGATGTGGTGAAACTGGATCCCGCGCAAAGCAATCTCGCTTGTTTGATGATGCGTAGTGGATAAATGCATTTACTCGTACAACTCCTTAGCGAGCCACCCACCGTTGCCGAGCATATAGAGAAAGAAGCCGCTAAGAAACCTAAGAAATCTAAGAAACATCGAGGTAGAGAAATGCCGTCAGGGAGATGATGAGAGATAATGTGGGACCTGGGCTGGAGAAATATTCCTGCCAGATAAATCCCACAGTGATGACATAGTGTGGAGGGGGAACGGTAACGGATATATGCGGGATGCCTAGTTGCCTACTCTATCTGGCGACTGGTGCAGGCAGTGGTGTGTGTGTATGTGGAGCGTTTCATTTTCACTCGGCTGAGTGCTGACAGACAGCCCAGAGCGATGCCAGACAGGCTGCTGCGTTCCTCTTCCATGCACACTCGCCCGACTGCCTGGCTGTCTTGGTTGGGTTGGAAAAGCTCATCAGTTCCATCAGTACTAGTATTGGAATTCCATTTGCTCGCGAAAAACGGTCTATTTTGGCGAAGGGTCAAAAAGATGGAGAGACCATTAATGGAGGATATTTTCTTCGGTCAGAAAGAGGATGGAAAAAGTTGAGGCTTTCCTTTAACGGAAAACCGAAGTTTAAAAATTCATGGTAGCCTCCGGCATATGGGAAAATAATTTTTGCCATGTTAAGTTTGCTTTAGGAAAGATGCTTTTCAATGCAATGGTGGGAATATGCTGCTGAGTCGGTGACTCGGTCCAAACTCCAAAGATAAAAATTATTAAAGCTGTTATTGTAGGACCAAGTATTAAGTTACCACATTTGTGGTTGGATTTTATGGATTAATTGCAATTTACACGTACTCACAGTCAAAATACTGTTATGTACGTAATGCCTGATGCCTGATTTACGTAATACGTAATTGCAAACGAAACGTTTGTCTCAAATACAAGTATCGAAGTACGCGTAAACGTGCTATCATTTTGTTTCAGATTTTATGATTTTAAAAATCATTTTAAAATCTGGAAAAAAACGGTGCAGTTCTGGTTCGGTGAGAAAACGATCTTGATACCTATGTGCAAAATTTAAACGGGATCGGTCCATAATGAGAATTTTGTTTCCACTGAATGCATTTAAACTATTTGGAACTTTCTTACAGCCATAACTCCCGAACCGGAAGTTGCGCGCACAAAGGGTTTTCACGCCGATGTATACAAATCACCTGGCTACAGATCATAGAATGCCCTGAAACTATGCAAAAAAGTGTTTGGTAGTGCGCAAAAGCGAACGTTTTAGTACATGGTACCATACGTACTTGGTACCATATATAGTATACCGGGACTTCCCTTAAGGGTACTCAGGAGTTAGGACCAAATTCGTGTACATCCACGGGAACGTTCGCTGTCGCGCACTCCCAAACACCTTTTCTGGCATTGCTTTATGATATACTGCAGCCAAAAGATTTGTATATGTACTAGGCGTGAAAGCCTTTTGCGCGCTGGTACTTAAAGTATCTCAGAGTGCACAACTGCCAGAAAATGTGCTTTTACGCAACATTATGAGCAAATCAATCAGTATACTTATACAGATAATGCTTCCGCCCAAAAGAGATCAACAAATAACGCCGAAAAAACTTAAATGTAAAGAATATTTCACTTCTGTGAAAATCAGGGAAATACCATTCCTGTACAAGGTGGCACATTGGACGCCGGTTCGAGCACGACTAGAGCTGCGTGCAGCGGCCCAGCGCCTGACTGATGGTGTCGAGGGCTCGGCGCACCTGCAGGAAGACGGCGCGGTAGTTGTCGGTCTGCTCCTGCAGGACCGCTTCTTTGCTGCGGCGGCCATCGCAGATGTCCTTGAGGGAGGCCTCTAGCTGCGCGCGCAGATGCGGCCGGGACATGCTGTGGTTGATGGCGTCGAAGCCCTCCACCAACCTGTCAACACTTCCGCTTCAACAATGTTTTCAGCAATGCGGTGTGGCAGATTCATGCGAGCATCATCAGTTAAGAAATACTGTACTGTGTATTTCACAGATTTTACAAATTTTTCAAAACGATTACTGATTTAAAAGAGTTACGGGAGTAGTTTTCATATCGCATACAAAATTTGTTGTAATGATTTCTGGAAGTTTGAATTTTTACAATTTCGTACATTTTGAAGCCAGAATTAACGAGAAAAAAACCATATTTCTTGAGGTTAATTGAGTTTATCCAGACAATATCTTTACTGTTTCTAAACCCCGCATTCTTCAATTCAGTAGTAAAGAGTACAGACAACAGTAACAAAAAGATTGCGAAAAAGCCGGCCTCAACTATTTTGCTCCACGCTTATTCTTTACGTAATTGAAAACATTTCGTTACATACCCTAAAATACAGGATTAAAATAAAAATAAAATTCAGTAAGATAAAAAATTTTTTAAAAAAATGCCAGAAAATTAAAAAAAATATATATAAAACGCAAAAAAATGATTACAACCAATACTCGTAAAACAAAATGCAAATAAACAGTTCAATCAGATAAATGCAAAAATAAAATGCAAAGCAATAAGGAAATAATGGAAGTCATAAAGATGAAATAATTAGAGTAATCCATGAAACGAAAAAAGCGAAAAACCGCCGCGCATGGCCGACCTACCCCATTCCGACGCGGCCCGGCATGAAGCGGCGTTCGGGCGTCATCCCGGCGTAGAGGCGCTCCTGGATGGTCTCGATATGCTCGGCGTGCGTGGCGTCCGTGCCGATGCCGTGCTTGTCCATCAGCGCGATGAGGTCGGCTTCGCTGAGCAGCGCCGGCGCCGCGGTCTGTCCGCTGAGCATCTCGATGCTGGCGGGCAGGAAGGTGTGGCCCACGGGTAGCACTGGCAGCTGCTTGGACTCCCACTTGTCGTAGGGGTACACCTCCAGGTAGCCGCGCTCGGTGACTACCAGGCCCTCGGCGTGGAAGCGCTCCCCGGCAATGTCAATGTGAATGCTGGTCTCTTGACCTTTGGCGTCCTCCGAGCAGGTTGCCAGGAAGGGCCGCGTGATAAGCTCGTAAATACGCCACTCATTCCCTGCAAGATTCATGGTCAATCGTCAACCTGAACCACCGAGCTGCATTTCCCTGCAGTTTTAATTAAACTTTTTATTTCGACAAAAGCCAGTATACATAACAAAATGCCTGCGCTTAATTATACTAATAAAAATGATCGAATTTAAACATTAAAAAAACATCCAAAATCAAAGGCTTTGATTGCAGTTTTAATTCAAAGGCTTTCGTGCATGCACCCGAATATTTGGTACCATGTACCGGGTGACCCAACAAAATGGCGGTCTCGTTTATTATGGTGTACTGGTCCCACCCAACGTCCGATGGACTTCGTTATAGTTTCATTCGAAAGAGCAATGTCCGGAGCACAGAACTGCTTAATCATATTAACCGTATACAAAGTTTCAACTTTTTAATGAATTATTGTAATAAAATAGGTGGATATTGACGGTGTCCCAGAACCGAAAATCTGGATTTTCCCATTAGCGAAATAAAAATTGCTATGGTTCAGGTTAGTGGATTAAAATCTGCCACTTTAGTATTTCAAGTAGAGGGATTGTTCCTTGTTTTTTTAACGTAAAGAGATACTGTATTCTGGTCACCGCGTTCGGTCCAGAAACTGGAGAGCTGGAACGCCGCAGATTCAATTTTCGTGAAATCCTCTAGCAGCTTTTTCAAAAATAAATTTCTCACCAACACTCAAAGCGAGTATCTGAATCAAACTTGCTTCTATAAAGGCAATGCCTTAGCTACATTTAACAACTAAATTTACACATTTTGTTGCAGCCTGTCAGGCAGCAAAAAATTGTTAATAAAATAAGTCGAAAATTGAACAAAAAAACGGCATTTTTTCAAAAAGGGAATCCAGTGCATTGCTCCCCCATTGTGTGCTCCATGGAAACCGTTTTCTTTATATTGAAAGGAAACACCCTTCGCTATATGAAACAATTGAAAAAACTGAAATAGTTTGTATAGATCATAAAGGAGACAAAATTCTTTAGTTCAAAAGCTGGGTCACTTTACATTTCCGAACAACTTCAGTTGGCACAGCTTCTCACAAGCGTGTCATAACTTTTCGAAAAACTGTTTTTTGATTTTAATAGCTAATAAAATTTGTAATCGAAAGAATCTAAAACGGTTATGGTACGACAAGCGGTTCAAGAACAGCGAAACAAAAACGGAGACCGCCATTTTTTGGGCCACCCGGTACTGATACACGGTGACCCGGTACAGATGATTAGTAAAAAAATCTTGGACTGCACCGAACAAATATTCCAACATTTTTCACCGTTAGCTAACTGGTAAATAAATTGGTACAATTTTACAATACAATTTTTAATACAATACAATTTTAAATTTCAAAATCATTTAAAAAGATGAAAAAAATGGGGAGTTCGGTTCGATAAGTAAAAGCGGTTTCCGGCTCAACTTATATGAACTATTTGGCCACAGAATGCCATAAAGCAATGCACAAACGTTTATGGGAATGCGCGAAAGCGAAAGTTCCCATCACGTACGGGACGATGTACCGGGTCATACCAACCGTCAAACCGTCATACCAACTAGTGAAACTACCACGAAACCTACTTTGTAGAACCTTCGACGTTGCTCAATATGGTTTCCCGCACCAGACACCAGAGGCACGGTATTCTCTGCCCTGTTCCACACTTGACCACATAATAATTTTTATTAATCTCTTGCACAAGCTTTTACAAAACGATAATTATCACGTAACCACTTTCTGCAAGGTTTCTGTCAAGTGCAACAACGCAGAGAATCCCGTGTGCGACCGCGAATTGGCGAGCTAAAATTGTGAAAGCGTCCCGAATGCCAATAACGTGGAAGTAGCGAGCAAAGAGTAAGTAATAAAGCAATAGAATAAATCAATAGTACATAAAATAATAGATCGCAAATATATCAGGAAAAAAATAACAGATAGTAAATAAGTAAATGAATCTGCAAGAATAGCACAGGCTGTGCTTACCTTGGAGGGTGGTAGCGTGCTTGATGGGGTGGATGGGCGGATGCGCCTGGTCGGATTTGGTACCGCGGCGCGGATTGGGACCCTGGTGGAGGACCCGTTGGGCGAAGGCGCCCCAACGCGCATCCCCGGCCTGGACCTGCAGCAGCCCCGGGAGGTGGAAGTGGGTGGGAAAGACGGTGGTCTCGGTGCGCGGGTAACTGATCAAGCCCTGACTGTACAGCTTCTCCGCGATCTTCATCGTCTGCTTGGCGGTGATCTTGAGGAGCCGCGAGGCCAGCTTCTCCAGCTGTACCGTGTCCAGGGGCAGCGGCCGCCACTTGCTGCGCGGCGTCTGCGTCACGTTGACCACCCGGGCCCGCGGCGAGGCCCGGCACATGTCCAGCAGCACCTGACAGGCTGGCTCGTCGAAGAGGCGGACACGCTGCCAGAGGAACTCCACCGGCAGCGGCTCCGGCGAGGTGAAGGTGTGCAGGACGCAGAGGCGCCAGAAGTCCTCGCGAATGAAGCGCTGAATCTGCGCCAAAGCATGATCAGCCTTTTTCAAAGCATTTTCAGAGTTCTCTCTGTTTTTCCAAGGCTTTTCTGTATTTTTCCCACTTTTTTTACAATTTTTCTTCATTGATTTTATTGGGCAATCTCCAACAGTCAGCTATATGTACTAGTATTCTAATTCCAAAAACAATTAGAAATCAATTAAATTTTGAAACTGTCTTTCCAACCAAATTGAATTAAAAGTTCATTAAATTTTAATTTAATTCAGTTAATCTCGAAATGTATTGAATTCCCACAGTAATTTTTTAATAGTATTTTTTTCGAAAAACAATTTCGACATTCGAATCATGTATTGAATTCCCACAGTAATTATTTACCTTAATTCGAAAAGCAGTTTCAAAATTCGCTTTAAGGGATTTGGCCCGGTACATAGTACCAAATTCGGGTACATACACGGGAACTTTCGCTTTCGCGCACTCCTAAACACATTTTTGCATTGCTTTATAACATTTTGTATCCAAAGGATTTATATACGTAGGCGTGAAATCCGTTTGCGCGCGCAACATCCGGTTCGGGGGTTATAAGTGAAATAAAATTCCAAAAGTTTAAACGCGCGAAGGTATACCAAAAGTCTCATTATGAACCGATGCTCTTTAAATATTGCACGAAAACGCACATTACTATGAAGATCGTTTTGGTACTGAACCAGCTTTCTACCATTTTTTTCAAATTTTAAATTAATTTTTAAAATTTTTGAAATTCATTTTAAATTTTAAAAAAAATGGTAGAAAGCTGGTTCGGCACCAAAACGATCTTCATAGTAATGTGCATTTTCGTGCAAAATTTGAGGAGCATCGGTTCATAATGAGACTTTTGGTACACCTCCCCGCGTTTAAAAGTTTGGAACTCTATTTCACTAATAACTCCCGAACCGGATGTTGCGCGCACAAACTGTTTTTTCGCCTATCTATACGAATCCTTTGGCTACAAAATATCATAAAGCAATGCAAAAAAGGGTTTGGGAGAGCGCGACAGCGAAAGTTGCCGTGGATGTATACAAATTTGGTGCTATGTACCGGGCCAAATCCCTTAATTTAATTCGAAAAGGAATTTCAATTCGAAATAATTTCAAGTTGTAATGAATTTCCTAATTAATTTAATCGAATTTATGAAATTAGAAAATCTCCTTTTTGATTTATTCTAATTGGGAAAACAATTTTACGATTTTACAAAGCAGCGCATCGCAGAGATGCCTTCGTCGCATTTTGCTGATGACCGCGTGGACGAACCTCTCTGTAGCGCTCGACGACGAAGCCGAGCGTGGGGAACTGGCAGCTGCCGTAGCTGAGCAGCTTCTTCGCGCCGAGGAAGGCGCCGAAGCGCTCGCGGAAGCGCATGGTCAGGATGCGCGTGAACGCCGCTCCGATGCGCAGGTCCAGCTCGCTGCGGCACTCCACCGCCCGCGAGATGCGCTCATCCGGACGCTGCAGGTTACGCATGGCCTGCGTGCAGGCGTGGCTGGTGATTTCCGAAAAGCGCGCACGCCACACATCCAAATGCCGATTGACCTGCAACGATAACAACAGCAGTTTATACTTTTTACAGTAAATTTTCTGTTATTTTTTTAAGAAATCCCGTATGCACCCACAGAGCGATTTTTCAAGCCCAAATCCGTTCCCATAATAAGACCAGGGCCCCCACATGCAAGCCAGACTCTATGCAGCATAATGCCAGCAAATATTTAAAACAAAACATATTAAAATACAGCGGTAACGATTTTTAATAAAAGCATACAACAGTTACCTTGCAATTTTCTGTATAATTTTCAGAAAACGCTAACCAGTAGAAATCTGCTCACTACGCCTTAGTGAAGGCCGATTCACATCTGAATAATTATTTAAAAATAATTGTAACATCAGTAATAAGTTAACAATCATTTTTTATCATAAATACGCAAAGCACTAAAATTTAAAAATTAATAACAATTTTTTGAGCAAGTTTCGGAACGCAATTTACGGAACGAAATCCCCTGATTATGGTTTATTCGCCGACTAATTCCTGAATGGCACCGCCGCGTTGCGACACGGATCTTCCGCACAAAGGCCACTGTGAGACGAGGCTCACTAGCGTTCACGTCCGTGGCGCTAGGCGCTACGCCTTTGGATTACGGTCTGTGACGTGTCTCGTTTTGATTGGCTTGAGTTGTGTTAGTGGGCGCGGCATAGCACATGCTGCACAGTGTTGCACACTGTTGAATGGGTTCTACGTTTTACGATCGAGCTGTGCCGATCACTTGTTGATTTTCTGCTCTCCAGACTCTCAATATTATAAAAAGTCAGCAATTACGGTGCGACGTTTTGTGTTTCCGCATAGCTCGCAATCCAGATCGTATTGCTCGCTCCACGGGATAGATTCCGTTTCTGTCTCCGTCCCTGGATCCATTCTGGATCTAGCATTAGATGGTAGCAGAGCCGACAGCGGTTCTCTGATTGAATTGATTTGATTGATTGGATTTTATTGGAATTGTCAGGCAAAACTGGCCTGTTATCTGACGTGTTCACCGTGACCAGTAAGGCACAGGTCTGTTCCACAGCAAAGCGCAACACCACAAGCGGTGCAAGTTCCTCATCGGATTTCCAGCTTTGGTTTTCGGTACGGTATCTTCAGCGAAGAACCGTGCTGTTTCCTCAGCTGAGCAAGAGTACAAGAGTTTAGTCGTCAGTGTTCCTCGGTGTAGAGTCTTCAGCGAAGACCTACACTGGTGTCACTGATACTCGGCAAGGCTTCAGCGAAGCCTAAGCCGTGGGGCACAAGAGCCGAAGCGCCGAAAGGGGCGCACGGATACCACCAGATCAGACTCCTCCAAACTGGCAGTAGAGCACCACTACTGTTGCTACGGCACAGCCGGCACAGTAACAGACTGATAGCGCGAGGCACGCTACGGAACAGCGGCGACGCGGGAACGGACTGTGGAAGAAGAATTGGATCATCTGGATCATTTTCCCCGTGCAACGGACGGTTAACAGGTAGAAAACCGTTATTAATTACGGGATTGGTCAGGCGATAAAATTGGTAATTTCTATTGGCCGATACTGAGCTGAGCATAAAAGTAGGCGGAGTTTTGCACACGGCGCGCATGTCTGGCCGTTGACCGTGACGTCAGGCAGATATAAATTTTAAGAGGAGTAACGTGATTGGCCGGTTATCTGAGCTGTGATTGGCCGAAATTTGAACTGAATATTTTGAGCTAGCGGACCAATCAGAACGAAGTAAACAACCCGAATGGGGATTTTCCGTTGAACTCGAGTCGTAACGGGAAATTTGATTTGAGATTACATAATTGAGCGGGAAAGTGACCTTTTAAACTTGAATTGAGTTGAGAAGTGACCTTTTGAGTTGAAACAAAGGAAAAGTGACCTTTGATTGAATTGAGCTGGAAAGTGACCTTTTAACTTAAAACGAGTTGAGAAGTTACCTTTTGAGTTAAGACGAGTATGAAAGTGACCTTTACGACCAGAAGTTGACCTTTGAGTTCGGAAAGTGACCTTTACTAAAAAGTTGGAACTGGCCAAATTGACCTATTTAAATGACCTTTACGATCTGAAAGTGACCAACAGTGACCTTTAACGAAGTTGAAATCGAAGCGAATAGTAGTACGGCGATATCAGCAGCGGTAGGAATTCATTCGTAAACGTGTTTTGAACTGTAGGCACGGTTTCGAAGTTTTGTCTGGAAAGTGACCTTTAGGGCAAATCTCTCGAACTTTTAATCGAAAAAGTGACCTTTAAACGGGAGTTAGCCGAAGTTTTTCAATCGAAAAGTGACCTTTAACAGGGACTTAGAAAAATTTCAAAGTATAAAGTGACCTTTAGGATATTGAACAAACCATACAATAACGTGTGTGTGAGAACAATTGGCAGGAGCGTCCAAGTTATCCGATCAACATGGATAAAGACAAAGAGGAGCCGACATCCAACAGCAGTCAGGGAAGCAAAAGCTCCCGCAGCTCACAGCAAGGTGCACCGAATCCGTACAAAAAGGACTTGCACACATACTCACGTCCAGCTGAACATGAGCGGAACACTCGAGCGCCCAAGGCATTCGAGAGAAAGGAATCGCGAGGCTCTGATAGCACTTATCAGAAGGCGCTCGAGGCGGTCGCAAATCAGGAAAGCTCCAGCGACGACCAAAAACACATTCCCGCATCTGCAGCGGGAAACGAACCGATGAACCAGAGAAAGGTCACGGGGGAGGAGAAGTCCACAGAAACAGGAGCGGAAGCAATGGGGGCATCACAGCTGGATGCTACCATCAGCGGAACGAATGAGCAGGATAAAAATATGAACCTGACTCGATCGGAAACGGAAAAGACAAAGGTCACCGAAGGGGAATTTGCTGAACTGGGCCTGAGTGACCTTTCATTGAATGACAAAGCGGCAGACGATGACCTTTGGGCAACTCCAATGGTCTCAGACGAATCGAACGAATCGTATTTCACGGACGATGAAACGACGATGAATATGTCCTTTCAAACCGCGATAAGAGAAGCTGACCGCGCGGAAGGCGTGACACCATTCAAAGACATACCGGAACACCTCATCGAACGCACACAAACGGGAAAGGTCATCAATGTTCGACCGCCATCACCGAACAGTCCCACAACGACTTTGAGGACTCGCGTGAGGGAGTTGGAAAGCGAACTCGAAGCCAAGGAAAGTCTGGCAATGAAACGAACAAAAGAAAACAGGGATAAACTGTCGTCCCTGGAAGCCCGGATTTATGAATTGGAACAACAACAAGTTGACTTGGAAAGCGCAGCGGATGAATGGAAAATCAAATACGAACGTCAAAGAGAACTCGCGGAAGAATATTTGAAGATGGCAGATGACAGAGAAATGGAAGGTCATCTCGCAGTCGGTGACCTTAATGAGAGTATGTCCGAAGAAACAGCGGAAAGGTCACGGCACTTAGCAGAATTGAAGGACGAATGCGACTCGCTGAAGTCAAAGGTCACCGAAGCTGAAGCAAAAAGAGACGAATACGCGACCAAACTCGCCGAAGCTACCCAACGGTTGTTAACAAACACCACTGAAGTGTTTAAGCTTAGGAACGATCTGAAACTCCGAGACGAGAGTATCGGGATCCTCCAAAAGGAATCGAAAGATCATCAGAAACGAGCTGATGATGCGGTCCAAGTGGCAAAAGACTTGCGAGACCTTCTAGCCACTGAGGGTCAGCGACTGAACGAGGGAATTAAAAAGGTCACCGGAGAGAATGATGAACTTAAAGAAGCCAGCAAGAAAGCCGCCGAACGGGGCTTGAGATGGGAACATGAGGCCCACCTCCTGGACACAAAGGTCACGGCACTTGAGCTGAAAGATAAAGAGTGGCAACAGATGGTTCATCAGAAGACACAAGAGGTCATCAAACTCAACACGGAATTGATTGACATGACCCAAACGGCAATGGCGAGAGAAGACGAGGTCATTCAGACAAAGAACCAACTGAAAGCAGCAGCAGACGAATATACGAAATTGGAAAGAGAAGTGACCCAGTTGGTCGAGCACATCAACGAGATGGAAAAGCGGGATGAGAAGGTCACCCAGGAGAAAACGTTCCAACTCCACCAGCACATGCTGAAGGTCAAGGAAGAAAACCAGAGTTTGAGAACCGAGAGGAGGAATCCCAGTTGAAAATCAGACGCCTTGAAGACGAGAATAAGGCGCTCAACATGTCGAACAAACATAAAGATGAACAGCTCCTGCAATACGGAGTGAGAACGGCAACAGTGGAGTCTCCTCCGCCCAGTTACAGCAAGGCGCATGAAACGGGCACGGGTAAAAGCTTCCACTTTGAAATGCCACTACGAACTGGTACCGGCAAAGGAAACGTCAAGAACGAAAAAGATGGCGAAAAGGTCAAAGACGACAAAGAACCGCCCTCAGGAGGTTACCCGCATACGAGTCACGGTGATCCCTCCCAATTTCCCCCGCACATTGAAACGACTGTCTTCATCGATGAAGGGAGAAGAGACCGACCGTCCAGCCGGCAAGAACGCCCAAGGAAATCCCGTTATGCAAAAGCGAAGCGAAATCAGGATGATGATGACAGTGACTCCAGCGCAGCAGAAGAAATAGATCCAACACAGAAACTGGTAAATGCACTCCAATCAATGGGCCGCAAGACAAATCTAGTGACCTTTGATGGAAGTCGCGACACGGTGAACGGGTGGACGCAATTGGTCAGAGATACCCAACGAACGTACCGCCTTACCGACGATCAAATCCTAATTGAAATAGCCAGCGCAGTGAAAGGACCGGCAAAAACTTGGTTTGAAGGAGAGAGAGAAATCGCACTCCAGGAAGAGACGGAGTATACGATAACAGAATGGTTGAACAAGTTCAAGGATGAATACGGTGACCGTGATGAAGAAGTCCTTGGCTTACGAGAAGCCATGGCGAGGAAATTTGACCTCGGAAAAGAATCGCTTGACCAGTTTTATCAAGCGATTATGAAATACAAGGCAAAAAGGATCATTACTGAAAAGCAAGCAGTCGGCTTCCTCATC